TTGATTAATCGCCCAGCTCTAATGCTCATTACAAGTCACCAGTAATTACTTTTAAATAGACCCTGATCCACATTTGACTGGACCTGATGGCATCCATGTCAAAGGTCAGGTCTAAATAAATAAATCGGTATGTTCGGCTTGAAGTACTTTAAAGCATCAGAGGTGGAACTTACCCCCAGAAGTGACGGAGACCACGGTGAGCCCTGATCTTCTTCAGCCTCTCCAGATCTTCTCTCAGTTTATTGTCCAGACCATTAGCAAGGACCTAGGTAAAAATAATAATGTACTCAAAGAAGCACTCCATTTTTTTGGAAATGGATTCAATTCATAAGTTAAATTGAACCATTTATAAATTTATTTAACATTTAACTGACCTTTAAAAAAAAAAAAAAAAAAAAAAAACGTCTTTTTTTTTTTTTACAGGTTTTCATATCTACATTTTATGAGACTACAATAACAGTAGACAAAATGGAGTGTAAAGAGTCAAAGTTTAGTGTTTTAAAAAGAACAAATTTTTTCAATTGTTAAGCAACCCTAAAATCCCTATGATTAATCCTGTGTCCTCTGGGCCCGGTTTTTCAAAAGTAATCCATTAGGATTTTGGATAAGGGTTTGTATCAAATCTTAAAAATGGGTTTTTGAAAAGAAAAAACGGATTACATAATCGGATTAGATCACGTAATCCAATCTTGGTTTTGATCCGGATCAAACCTTTAGTTTAGCATTTTCAGACCTTTTTTGTAGGATCTGGATCACTTTGATCCAAAAAAACTGGATTAAACTGATCACATCAGGGGTCCGTTCTTCGTACCTCGCTTAAATGATCCAAGATGATTTGGCAGATCCTGGATCTTTTAATCTTGATAACTGATCTCTCGCTAATTTGGTTTTTCAAACAAGTTTGCGAATCAGATTAGAATGTCTGGATGAACTGATCTGAGATCGCTGCGTGTGTTGTGAAGGACAGATCTATCGATCCTCGTAATCATGATCAGCAATTCAATGATTGGCTGACGGCACAGCAGCGTATTGACATCACCAGATTAATATTCAATTATCCATGTGAGCAAAATTACAAATTAGCAGTAAACGGTTTGTTAAATATGACACGCAATAACTTTCCACATTTGTTATGAGCGGCAGGCTTTACACTTATGTTTCAAGAGTATTCATCATGTAATTCAATGCATATCAGTGTATTTCATTCTACATTCAGAAAAGATTTTCTTTATTATAGTAGCCGTTTTTTTAAATCGCTGTATGGAATAACTGGATGTTTACAAAAAGCATTTTGATATTGGTAAAGGCATCTGCAACTTTTGTAAAGCATAATCACTGGCTTATTAACTGTCAAAACATGTTTATGACTGCATTAATGTATTATTTCTTTTTTAAAAAGTCACATATTCTGCATTATTATTAGCATACACTAATTGTACTAAAGCGATCTAAAAAGTTCATATTAACAAGTTTTCTCTTTGCACCAGAAGATGGCAGTCTTGGTACTTTTATTTTGAAGGGTGCTGATTGCATAAGTTTTATTAATATATATAACTTTATTTATTTTATTAATAACGATAACTTAATATATATATATATATATATATATATATATATATATATATATATATATATATATATATATATACACACAAACAAAATTATTAAATAATACTATTTTTGGATCATTAAGTATCTTACAAGATAAATTATTTATTCAAAAGGTTTTAATTTTATTTGTTCATCCATCAGGCTATAGTGAGTATAGGCTTTAACGTATTCAGCCTTTCAGTATAGGCCTACAGCAAACAAGAGAGTTTGGCCTGATAAAATAATCCCCCAAACAGCTGTCAAAACTGACCAAAAACAATCAATTTTATTCTGTCACTAACTGATATGTATATATTTTTTTCCATCACAATGGAAAATATTTTTCTTTTTAGAATATTTATTAGTGATGCATGCAATGATTACAGAAAAACAAAAAAAAAAATGCAAAGAATGGCAATGACCGATTTTTTAAATCTCTTTCAACAATTGCAAAAAGAAACTGAAAGGGCAGAAGCACAGCTTCGTCTGGCAGAGAAACAACTGACTAACCAAACTGCAGCAAACCAAGGCCAATGACTTGGGATCCACCTCCTAAAGGCTACGCTCAGACAAGCTGGTCTCTCCACATCAGATGAGGAAGTCTAAAATTATTGTGGAGTTTTTGACATTAAGTCTTTTTTTATTTACATCTATATTTGAAACTTATTATAAATATCCTCAATGTACAGTGTTGTAGGTCTCAGATGAGCGGACTGCTGAAAGAGGATGGGGTGGGGTTTTTCTTGTTTTTATTATTTGAATATTTTAAAAATTTTCTTAGTTTTCATTTCAAATAAAAATAAAGTTATATTGACCCCACGCTGGCTATTCTACTTGTCGCTCTTTACATATCTATAGTTCTACATTGTGTTACGTTATAGAACGTATTAATTATTTGTTTGCTAATTTTATATATATAAATATTATATATATACAGATTTGTGTTTTGTTTATGCATTTGGAGCTGATGTTGTGTTGTGCGCTGTGGAGCATGCGCAGCTTTCTCTCTCTCTCTCCCCCTCCCTCTAGACTGCGCTTGATTGCGGTCCAGCCGTGTTGCGTGTGGGAGCGTATATAAGCTGGAGGAGAGGAACAATGGAGAGATCTTTCTGCTCGGTGCAGGTCGCAAATCTCCGTCGTCGTTGTCGCCGCTGTGGTTCCGAGCGTCTCCTATCTCCTGGCCCAAATTGTTGGTTGACTTGGTGTGAATTGATCGATTTCTGTTACTGACTATTTAATTATTTTCTAAAACGGCTCTCTGTTAAATCTGAACCTATTGGCTTTTCTGATTAAATATTGATATATATCATTTTTGGTTAGAAACAGAAGCGGTAGGTTGGGAATCGCCATTTACTTTAAAACGTTTTCTCCTGGTTTGTGGTAGCAAGGGAGAAAGGGAAGTTTGCTGTAATTTTATTTGGGGTACTTTTATTTGAGCAGGTAAGTTAGAATTATTTCCCTGCAAGATAGCTGTCTTTTTGTTTATTATTTTGGCCTGGATTCCCTTCCGAAGAGATGCTTCTATCTTTGTTGTGTAAGGAAATAAATATTGTTACTACTTGATCAGCGTTGTGATTATTGTGAGTTGGGACAGGAGAAGGGGAAAACCTTAAATTGAGTATTTGAGTTTATCTCTTTGTTTTTTTTTTTACACTTGTTATTGTTCCCACCAACCCTAGACTGGTCGGGACGTGATTTCCTATCCTGTTTGAGCACTGGTTATCCCGATTTAGTGATCATGAAAAGTTCCTTTCCGGATCTGATTGATCCAATCCAATGTTGCTTTGAAAAACTTTGAAAAAGTAAGCTGGATTGCGTGATCACTGATCGCAAAAACAGGATTACTAAATCCGGATCAATTTTATCCGGATTAAACCTTTTGAAAAACCGGGCCCTGGAGTTTGTTTTCCAAATCAAACTTGCAAAGTCTAAAAGATGCAAGACTGAACTTTCTGTAGGCTACTTAATATTAAGCAAAAAGTTTCAGTCAGATTCCAGGTGAATGTCTACAGCCACGTCTTCGTTTTACACCCATCCACACTGACAGGGAGCAGCAGCATTTTAAAAAGAAAAACGGCCTCTTCAGGGCTCAAAAACTCTGGGATAATGTAAATGAAAGGCGTAATCGTAGCAAAACTTGCACGTTAAAACAGAAACATACTCAACTTAAGCTGTGGGTCATGTTATAGGTATTGTACTGAACTTCTGCTTTTAAAGCACATAACATCCAAGAAAAACAGTGCTAGACATGCTTGATAAACTTTTAAAATGGTAATAGACAATCATACCTGGCTGTATTTCCCATCTTTTATGTCCTTCTGTCTGTTCAGGAACCAGTCTGGGATTTTGTACTGGCGAGGGTTCTGCATAATAGTCACCACCCTCTCAACCTATTCAATAAAACCATAATCATTAAACATTTTAGACCTTTAAAAATTCCTTAAAGAATAATAAAATTTTTCACTTATTTTTCCACTTGCGTTTATCAAAAAATCTTTCTGGGTGGAATATAAACTGCTTTAGAACTTAATAAAATTGTGTCATCTGACATGAAATCTGTGTTGTAAGAAACAGTTCAATGTCCATTTAAACATTTACAAACCCACCTCATCCTCAGTGAGTTCTCCAGCCCTCTTATTTAAATCAATATCAGCTTTCCTCAGAACCACATGGGCATATCGCCTTCCAACACCCTATTAACGGAAGTAGATTACAATATTAAAAGCTTAAATCATATTAACATACAGAACAAAATTGATCTAGTTAAAATAGTTCACCTTAATAGCGGTGATGGCAAATGCGATTTTACGTCTTCCATCAATGTTCGTGTTGAGGACACGAAGGATGTGCTGAAACTTCTCTGGGATGACGAGGGACTGAAAATAAAAATAACAAAGTCAGCATGCATGACACCACAAGGTAATAGTATACAGAACAACTAGCTCCTTTATCCTCTTCTAATGAATTTTGGGCAAGCATTTCAGCACATTATTGTAACGGCTCCATACTGACCTTATGCAATTACATAGTACGCTTTAAATATTTAGGGGAAAAATTCATACATAAATTTGTGTCACAATACAGATGCTTAATTTTTAGCATGATCCTTAAAAACACTAGTATGGTGTCTTTTTGAAGCGGCGCGGTCAACAGGGTAGGAGATATCGGTAACTCTTTAAAACGTTAAATCCTACTTAATAGCTGAAATATTCATTAAAAATAGTTAAACGTGTATAAAGGACATACAATATTTTATCGGTACAACTGTACACAGATAAATAAGACCGATGATGCGTGATTTCAACTTAAGCTTTGAGAGTACCATTTCGCACTCACCATCTTGATCGCTGGTTCCGCGCAAAAAGGAAGTTGTCATGGTCTCGCGATATTTTCACCACTTGACACGCAAACTTTAGGGTGGTTCCGCCCTATTTTTTACGGTCTATGGTTCCGTCACCAAGTACATTTCTGATAGCCTGTTATCTAAACTAATATATAAAACCTATGAGGTTTAAAACGTATTATATTACTTATAAGATATTTAATATTGTTTTGTTTTAAATAACATTTCTTAAGATTTTCAAACGTAACACTGCATTTTCGCGGATTTAATAGTTTGGTAACAGGGACTAAAATCCTAAACGGACGTGTAGTTTTTATGTACTACAGACGGCATGGCGGAGGCGCTGATCGGTGGAGCTGTTCATATAAACACATCCGCTGATTCTGTGACCGGTGCGATGGCCTGTATAACGTTACACGATGAGGTAATCATCTTTTTTTTTTACATGAAACATCAGCTTTGGCTGTGATCATATTCCACATTTTTGACGTTACACCAGTAAATGCTAACAGCCCCAGAGCTGGATATAATAGAGATGTGTAGTTTGTTATTAAATATCATATAGTTTTAATGTAGTTCGTACAAAGGTTGGTTTAGTAATCGCGATTGCAATGGAGCTATGCAGGTTATTGCTTTATTCAAAATCTGAATATCCCACAAATTTTTGTGTGGCACCATAAGATCACGTGACCAATGTCTGCATTGAAAAAAAACTCACACATGATATTAAGGTACGAATTCAGAAAACACCGATTCTGAGAAGTCATCATGACACAATATGAAAGTATGATTTATCATTTGATGACGTCAATGGTAAAAACATACATATTTTACAAACGAACTTTTTAATGCAAATCATGATTTATAAAAAATAATTAAAAAACGCAGTTGCCCGTTTTTGCAAATGAACATACAATTGATTTGTTGATGATTTTTTTTTGTTATTGTTTTGTACTCTTATTTACCTGTAGGCTACGATGTACCTATCATGTAAATATGATTTTGATCACCAGTACAAATATTTTTGCAGTGCCATGGCACTCAGTGTTAAATATAACAGTTTAATATTACCAACAAAGCTCTTATACTGATATGTATGTTGCTTATGCAGCTGTGTTTCTTGCAGGATTTGGTAACACATTATATACATACTATATATATATATATATATATATATATATATATATATATATATATATATATATATATATATATATATATATATATATAGTAACGGAATATATATATATATATGTATATATATATATATGTGTGTGTGTGTGTGTGTGTGTGTGTGTGTGTGTGTGTGTGTGTGTGAATGTGATTGAACCTCAAGTTCTCAACAGTTTTTAAAATGAAGTATCTGAAAGCAGGAGAAAAAGACTATGTACTTGGCAAGCTTTATGAGAACTACAATTCCGTGAATATTTGTAAATAGAAAAACTAAAAGGTTATAGTGCATCTGGAAATTATTCCCTGCTTCACTTTTTCATTATGTTATGTTACAGCCTTATTGTAAAATGGATTATATTCATCATTTAAGACAATGTGAATGATTTATTTATTTTTTTTGCAATAAATAAAGTACACAAGTACAATAATTACTTAAGGCATTTGCTTAATACTTTGTTTAAGTATCTCTGGCCCCAATCAAAGCCCTAAATTTAGCTGAGTCTGATGTTTCACACCCAAAAAAAAATTCTGTTTTTTTGTTTGTTTCTAGTCCAAATATCAATGCATGTGAAACAAACCTTTAAGGAATATTTACTGCACCTTATTGAATTTAGAGTCCACAAGGAAATAAGGCAGTCTGATTAGGTTTTAAGAAATTTCTCTTAAAGAATTTGACTGATGCACTGCATAAAACATGAATGAATGTTTCGAAGGCCACTTAGAAATATGAGATATTGCAAATAAAAGGAAAGATCCCGATGCTCAAATTGGCTTGCCTCATATTTGCCTTTATTTTCTTTTAAATCTCAGAGTACTGGTCTTCCTAAATACCTGCTTACTGAAATTAAATATTAGATAAAGTACTAAACTACACTTAAATACTTTGTCATTCAGGTAAAGTTTTTTCTATTACTGTTTTAATTGGCATGATCAGCTGTTTAGTGATGATTGTTTTTGTGATGTTGATAGAAGTCAAACTTTGATGTGATTCCTCCACTAAATTTTGGTGATCTGGACATCACTACAGATGAATTAATTCTGGATGAGGTTGATAGTAAGTGTGTATTTTTCTAAACTAAATATAGTACTTTTTTTACCGTTTTAATAGTAAGTTCCTTGTAAATCCTAATTTGCCCTTTTTCAGTTCACATTCAAGCTAATCTGGAGGATGATCTGGTGAAAGAGGCGCTGAAGACGGTGAGATGCAAGTTTTTCTACATATCTGCATTATTATCATTATGAATGAAATATTATCTTGTGTGTTTCTGTGTCTCAGGGTGTGGATTTGAGGCAGTACTCTAGGCAGGTGGAGACTGAGCTGCAGCAAATCGAACAAGCATCAATCAAAGACTGTATCCATATGGCTGTCTTAAATGGCTTCATGTTCAGGTCATGTTTCACTCTTATATAAATGTGACAATGTTTTTCTTATCTGTTTGATAAATGGTCATGTATCGATAAACATTAAGCATGCATTTTTTTTTTATTCAATAATTAAGGCTTATTTAAAAAGTTGTCATGGAAACTTTTAGAGAACCCTTAACCATTGTTATAATGCAGATATCAAAGAGAGTCAGAATATTGCCTCTTTACACAACCAGATCACAGCTTGTGACTCCATACTCGAGGTGAGTGTACTAAGAAAGCAATAGTACTATATGCTGTTGTGGTTTGGTGAACTGTGACATGCAGTTCTGAATTGTGGAAATATATTTAACCAGTTGAAAAATTGAATATAAAACATTGGTGAATTTCATTAAAGTATAAAATAAGAGATGCACCCTTTGGCTGATCTTGGTCCCCCGTGGGGATCTGGGGTAGAATAGGTCCTTAGCACCCCGTTGCTGGTCGTATGAGACAACAAATGAGACCAGTTGTTGGCTGTGAGTGGAAGAGATCCTGGTGCTTGAGGATCACTGTGGCTCCTACTTCATTTAGACGAGAGGTTGGAAAGGCCAATACCAATCAGCTTGTCAGAACTTGCCCTGGAACTATTTTGGGATTACTATCAACCATACAATTTTCATTCCTTCCAGAAGGCGCTGGCATAAGTTCAATTGAGAAGTATAGACCTTGTGTTTATATGCTCAAGTATACCATTTTTGTATCCTTTATACACATACAGTGGACTTGTGTGGCTCTGTACATCCCTTTATTGGACTCCGAGGTGGGTGAGGAGCAGAAAAATATTAACAATTTTTTTTCTAAACATGACGATAAAACAAAACGTATACTGGATCAAAATTTGGGGGCTGAACTGATTTTATTTTCTCATCTGAAAATAAAAACCATCAAAGATTTATTTTATTGAAATTTCTGAAATTTTGGTGAAATGTGCTAGGAAAGCACACTCAGGAAATTTATTACAAGCAACAACTTTGGCTGGAATTACTATGAAAGCTTACCCTCATCCTTCTTTGAACAAAACTAACAATGTAATCTGCACCAGAGAACTGCAAGAAAAGGACAAAACTAAAATCGCTTTAGAATTGAAAAAACTAGGTGTGATCAATGTTAAAAGAAAGATTGTCAAACAGGATGGACAGATGATTAAAACAGGAACATACATTCTGAATTTTCTGAATTTTTCACAACCACCAAGAAAATTTAATTTGGATATCCAAGTGTCACTGTGGACATATTTATACCAAATCCACTGAGATGTTTTAAGTGTCGGAAAATTGGTTATGGATCTGCAGGATAAGACTATTTGCCAAAATTGTGGAGAGGATGAGCATGAAATGAACTGCACAAAACCTTCTAAATCTTTCTCTTTAAGCCAGATGGGGCAATTCTTTGATGAAGCTGCATGATCTCCAAGGCGGTTTTTACAGAAAATTAAACATACAAGGAAGGAGAGCTATCTTTAAGCTTGTAAAATAGTTGAAGGACTCCCTGCCTTTACTTCTAGTAAGCCCAATTCTGCCATTTTTCACACCAAAGACACAAACAACTAGTTGTCAGACATCTCCTTGGTTATCCAAAGACAAAGCTCAAGCCATAAGCTCAAATACAAAAAGCACAGCAACTTAACAATCAAATCAGAATAAAAGTAACCTAAAAAAATGACACTTGAAAAGATGTTTGAAATGACTATGCCTAGTCGTTTCTTACCTAAGTGTCTTTTCCACTAGAGGATAAAAAAATCATTAAATACATTGGAATTGTTGGGCACTTACCCCAACTAACAAAGACAAACTTTGCAGAATTTCAGCACTGTTGTTTTTAACCTACTTGATGATTGTAATCCGGAGACACACTTTTCTCCAAATGATGCCGTGACTTTTAAAGGTTTTAAAATATGAAGTATATGTGGACTAAATTTACAACGACTTTCTGGGGATCAGTTATCTTGCTGAAAGTGATATAATTCTCAGTCAAATTGCACTGGATACTCATTACTAGCAATAGCAGTTCAACTAACTCTTTATAGAGCTATTACATTATGCTCTATCTATATTCTCCCTTATGATGCTGTGATGCCTCAAGAACTGCATTAACTTTTTTTCACAATTACCAATTGCATATATGCTAATGGGTTGATTTTTAACAGCCAGAATCTTTTATCAGGTGAAGACCGATGTGATGTCAAAGAAAGAAGAACGGAAGTTTTTATAGAAAATGGTCATTTATGTCTACTGAATGATGAAACATAAATATCTTCAACCAGGCCATAGAACCTATACTGCAATTGATTTGACAATATGCAGTGCTGATCTTTTCCTTTATTGTTCTTGGAGGGTCTGGGATGACCTGTGTGGGAGTGACCACTTTCCAATTGTCCTCACATTTTCACAAATGGGTGTACAACTTAGACCTTCAAGGTGGCAACTCAAGAAAGTACACTGGTTTACTTTTCAAACTATGTGTTTCTTTCAGCAACCCAACAAAATCAGACAACCATAGAATCCTTCACTCCGCAGTTGATTGCTATAGAAGATGAAATGATTTCAAAGACGTCAACAAAACCACAACGAAAGACCAATCCATGTTTTACTGAGCAATGTAAACCCATTGAAGCACGGAAAAAGGCTGAACGTGTTTTTAATAAACATCCATCAACTACAAATTTCATTTGTTTCAAAATTTGAAGAGCCTAAGCCTGCAGAATTTGGAAAGTTGGAAACAATTAGTATCAAGTTTAACATGCTAAACTACCCTGAAGAGGAGCTGGAACATGATTTGCAAAATGAAGGGAATGGAAAATAGATCTTTTATTCAACATATTATAAAACAAGGGATACTTCAGAAAAAAACAAATGGATGTAGCATATACACTAGCTGAAACCTTTGAAAAGAACTCATTAATAAAAAACTGCTCTCCTGAATTTCAACTAATTTGAGCAAAGCAGGAATGTAAAGAACTGAATTTTTGTTTTGATAACAAGAATGTATATAACCAACCTTTTAAGATGGAAGAATTAATGAACCTTTTAAAATCCACATAATACAGCTATTGCTCCAGGTAAAATTTATCATCAAAAGAAGGCTTTCCATCTTCATCTCAAACGTCTCTCGAGAGAAAGAAACCTCAGAGTCCATGTGGTAAACTCTCCATCAAATATACAGAAACAAGAACTCAAAGTTCCTCAAGAAAGCATACTCTGTTACACTTTTCAGTATCAAGATAAATATCATTGTAGAAGTCATTGGATCAAACATGTTCTGCAACCTTTATATGTATGATCTTTGTGGTTGTTGAAGAGGGAAGAATATGAGCACAATTGGAAGGCAACTACAAATATGCATTCACAAAATTATCCAGGGGTCTGTTGAAAACGGTTTTAAGTTCTCTAGAACAAAAACTGTTTTTAGATGTTTTTGCATCCAGCGATCTCTTTATCGTGATCTAGAACTTTTTACGGAGATCCGATCAAAGCTGTTAAAGATATATTGCTGTTAAATCAAGTTTTTAGATCTTCTTGACAACAAAATTACTTGTATCCCTCATTTGAAGTTGTTAAAAACAAGTGCCTGAAAGGTATGAATATAATCAAAGTGTTGGCAAAAACTAAATGGGGAACAGATTTTACTGTACTTTTTGGACTATGGGAGTATAATTTATGATTCTGCCAGGAACTCGTATAAATAGATCCTTAATACAGTACACCATGAAGGATTACGGCTTGCTCTTATTCTGCAGTTTTTAACCCACAGTTTGTGCAGTTGTATTAGAGTAAGCCAAAAACCATCAGACCATTTCAATTCAAACACACTTCCCTGACTCATTGGAAATTAAAGAAAGCATCTAAAGAGAGGAACAACTCATCCCAATGTATATAGACAACAACATCTGTATATTAGAAGCCAATATTCTCAACACTCAACAATATCTACAGACGATTCAAAGGTGGAAATTGGCATAGCAGCAGCAATGGTGATTGGACAACATTATTGGATCAGTCTGCATACAAGAATGTTCAATATTCACAGCTGAAGCCCGCACTTTACTTTTAGCTTTGGAATATATGGAAAATGTCCAACAAAAAAACTCTTATCAGTTTACTGACTCCAAATTATGCTTCTATGCTATGGAATTGTAAAAAAAAATTATCATCTTTTAATTGATAGTATTTTAACCAAAGTTCATTCACCATCTACAAAATCAGTTTTATCACAGATTTAAGACATTTTGAGACTAGATTTGATCAAGTGATTTTACCAGATGTTGTATTTGAAATAAACTATCCTGCTTTTAATGATTACAGAAGGCTTTTTTATGAAATGAACTTTCTTAAGGATATTTTTAACAAAGTAACATCAGTACATTAAAAAAATGTATGTATTTACACATAACAAAATCCTATTTAATTTATGCATTCATTTGTTTGTTGTTTTTAATTGTATATTTATTATTGAAATGTTCTTGCCATGAAAATAGCCTTGGTTGATGACTTGGTTGCTTCTTTACTTAAGTTAATAGCACGGTTGAGCCTGGTTAGTACCTGGATGGGAGAGCACACAGGAAAAACTAGGTTGCTTTTGGAAGTTGTGTTAGGGGTGCTCACCCTTTGGTCTGTGTGGATCCAATGCCCCACAGTTGCTCCGCATCTGTCACCAAAACAGTTTGTGATGTATCAAGAGCCAAAGTATCCAGGGTTATGTCAGCATACCACCAAGAATGATAACCCCCAGCAGTAACTGTGAACGAGGAAGCTGTCTGAAAGGGATGCCAAGGTGCTAACGCAAATTGTATCAAAAAACATAAAACCACAGCTGCCCAACTCATTGCAGAAATAAATGTGCACCTCAACTCTCCTGTTTCCACCAAAACTGTTCGTCAGGAGCTCCACAGGGTCAATAGACATGGCCAGGCTGTTATAAGTAAACCTTTGGTCACATGTGCCAATCCTAAGCGTAAATTTCAATGGTGCCAGCAGTGTAAATCTTGAGAGTTATGGTGTGGACAAGCCCCCAAAAACCGTACCACCCAGACTGTTGTATGCCTAGAATGAAGCATGAGTGTGGATTGGTAATGGTTTGGGCTACAACTTTATAGCATTACCTAGGCTAACTGCTTGTGCTAGATGGGCGAAAAGACTACCAAAGACTACTGAACCGTTCTGGAGAAAGGTTCAAACATTGTATTTTGAAGGCAGCCCCGTGTATGAGGATGATAATACTCCAGTATACACAGCAAGACTGGTGACAGAGTGGTTTGATAGACATGAAAGTGAAGTTGAATTTCACCCATGGCCTGCACAGTCACCTGATCGAAATATTACTTATTTAGAGACAAATGTCTCTAAATCCCTCTGGCCACTGTGCAGAAATTGTATCTAATTCCTGAGAGGAATTATTGCTGTATTGGCTACAAAAGGAGGCCTTGCATTATGCTATAACCAGGTGTTTCAGTTTCATTGCCCAACCGTGTGTGTGTGTGTGTGTGTGCGTGCGTGCGTGCGTGCGTGTGTGTGAGTGTGTGTGTGTGAAGTTACTGGTGAAATTATATGGACAGAGAATCAAGGAATCTTTGTAATGGCATGCATATGAGAAGCTACAATTTGACATTGCCTGCATTACAGTTCGTGTTTAGCATTGGTGCTGCTTGACATTGAACTGCTAAAGTGCTAATTCTTTTTTGTGTCTAGCGTATGGAGGGCATGCTGAGCAGTTTCCAGAGTGACCTGTCTTCCATCAGCAGTGAAATTCAGACATTGCAGCAACAGTCAGTCAGCATGAATATGAGACTCAAGAACCGCCAGGCTGTCCGCAGTCAGCTCAGCCAGCTGGTGGATGAACTAGTCGTCCCTAGCACTATGATCTCGTAAGAAAACATATTTAGCATGTAATTATTGGGACATGCTTTACCTTTTGAAATTACTGAATGAAGAACTGTGTGTGTTGCAGTGTGATTCTTGACAGTCCTGTAACGGAACAGGAATTTTTAGAGCAACTTCATGAGCTTAATAACAAAATCAACTTTGCTAAAGAGCTCAGCTTCAGAGAGACCCTTGCTTGCTCAGATATACAGGACATTGTAGATCGCCTCAAAATCAAAGTGAGAGCAAATCCAAATTTCATTGATAAAGTATTTTGATCATCCTCATAAAGTAAATCTGTGCTTCTCAACTGGTTTGGCCATGTGACCCATATTTTTCTATGTTCATTAAGATGTGACCTACATTTTCTCTCTCTCTCTCTCTCTCTCTCTCTCTCTCTCTCTCTCTCTCTCTCTCTCTCTATCTCTCTTTTATATTCTAGCAAATGTAATTTACAAAAAATGATTAGCAAACAAATACTCCATTTTAGTTAACATGCATATCAACTGAAAGATTCGCTGGCCCAAACTACAATTGTTAATAAATATAACAAAACTAATAAATAAATTGAAAAACACATAACATATTACATTTATAAAACCAACCTAAACTATAAAAGGTATGGAAATGCTCAGCATTGGTTAGTACAGGATAACAGCTGGCATCCCAGAAATATTAGTTTTTCTGAGTTGAGAGATATTTTATATCATAACAAGTAATAAAAATAACATTAGAACTTTGACACTGCTTTTCAACATTTTTTCAGCAACCGCAGACAGTGAACTGTGAGAATGTTTTTTTCAAGCACTTGGGCCTTTCTTACAGAAGCATGAACAGCTTCACACATCTTCAAAAATCAAAAAGTGCATTACCAAATCACTCCATGACCTACTCAAAATGGATTTGTGACCCATTTTAAGTCACAAAAAACCAATTGAGAAACACTTTAATAGGAATACAAGAATACAAAATTTAGGTTTGTGTTGCAGTTTTTTAATTTTTAATTTTGATCACAGGCTGTCACAAAGATCCGGGAGTTCATCCTACAGAAAATTTACTCTTTTAGAAAGCCAATGACCAACTACCAGATCCCCCAGAACACATTACTCAAGTACAGGTACAAAACACACTCCTTTAAACTAAACCAAACAAAGACTTTGGTTACATCAGAACAAGCAACAGGGGTTATTAGTAAAATTTGTCCTGGTGAATAGCAATTATTAACTCTATTAAATTAAATTCTTAAATAATTAATTTATAGATATTTTATCAATACAATATGTTACACCCCCCTAAATATGTCTGTTTCTGATCATTTATAGGTTTTTCTACCAGTTCCTGTTAGCCAATGAGAGAACAGTTGCAAAAGAGATCCGGGACGAGTATGTGGATACCATGAGCAAAATCTACTTAAGTTACTTCAAGTCATATAGTGGCAGACTGCTGAAAGTCCAGGTGAAATTGGTTTAAGATAGCAAAAGGTTTTCAAAATCTAAAAAAATTGTAAATTTGAAGAAAAAAATGTCCATGGAAGTCATTTTGTACAGGTTTAAATCCCAGGACAATATCTGAATGCATAAATTATGTATTCAGAATTGTAACGGAGACACTTACCAAGTAACTAAGACACTTACAAAGTATCAACTCAGATCTTCATAAAATGAATAGAAACATATTTAGCATTAAATAATTAATTCTAATAATTAATAGTCAATTCTCTGCTAAAAACTATTTGCCTTGAAAGTGTCATGAATTTAAACACAAGGAGGCTACTGTGTGTATAAAATATGATATTGTGTAGTCTTATAATGTGCATGTATGATGAAGCTAATGTAATATGCAAGATTATAATATCAAGTGGCTGTACAATTTAAATAACTTCACTTATTAATGCATACATAAAACACGTGCATATACATCTAAAAATTACTCACACACCTGAGCTCGCTATTTCCTGGAGTTTGTAATTGTCACAATCAGCTGTTCCTGCACAGTTGAAAACATTGCTTTTGCTTTTATGTCAATGGTTTGAGCTATGCTGAAAAGATGTGTGCAAGATTTGTTTTACCACAACATTTTACCATAGAACCCATATCTGGTAAAGAGTGAGGATGAAATATGACATCTGCAGATCAGCATCAGCACAAATGTGGTTTGAGGTGATATGATCTATATATGATAGTTATTTTTTTCCCATCATATATAGACTCACCCCTATGGCTTGGCCTCTAACAAACATTCTCTGTCAACTCAAGGTATTTGAATAGAGAATTGACATGGCAAATGATGTAATAAGTTAATATTATTTGCTTCTTGCAAGAGAGAGCTGGTGCAATGAAGTTTAAGATGTATCATTGTTAATAGTAAAATAAATTCAAATAAATTTACAATATAGGAATAAGTTTGACAAGGGAGCTGAATTGAAACATCTGACAATGTAAATTGAAGTATAATAAAGTATTTCTAAACCTCAGCTCGTTAGCTGAAGGGACACTTCTACAGGCACTTACCATCCCACACTCTTAAATCGATGCACTTACATACTCTACATCTTAAAATTAATACAAATATAAAAGTAAAGGCATGCTCAAGGCTCAATGATGTTGTTGTTTTTGTTGTTGTTGTTGTTTTTTCAATTAGTCCTGTTTGTTCCTTCTTTCTCTCTATTCGTCAGTATGAAGATGTTGCAGACAAAGATGATCTGATGGGAGTGGAAGATACAGCCAAAAAAGATATCCTTAACTGATTGCTGCCTATTTAGACATAAATGGCAATAGTGACATACATACACCAAACCTATTGCACCACTGTTTTGGTATCTTTTAACCAATGTCTTATCACAATCACATAGAATTAGCATGCCAAGTAAATTTCAAGTCTTTTTCTATATTCTATTACAACGTGGTTGATTTCTTTAACTGCTCGGCAGGTTTTTTCTCTAAGCCTTCTCTCAAAAGTAGAAACACCATTTTTACTCTCGGCCAAAGGGGGGCAATATTGAGCCCCGCAGAGCTGGAGGGGCCCATACTAATCCCACATGCTGCTCAAAGAGGAGACTCCAGAGTAAGTGATCTATTGCTGTACAAATCTTCCAGTTGCTGCCATGGAAAAGATGCATTTCATACTTTTAATTTCATGCTATTCTTTCTTAGTCAAAGATAGAAACCTGGTAGAAGATAAAACAAGATAAAAACATGCAACAGTTTTTTTTAAAGACCTAGTGGAATTCACCACAGTATAAATGTTGCCAGCATCAAGATAGTTGAAAGCATATACCCAAATTAATTTGCAATGCAATAGGCTTGACAGCAAATGTAATTCTGTTCCCATCTTTCCAAGCTGTTTTACAATACGTGTACCTAAAAGTAGCATTTTAAAGCCAAAATAGGGTTTATATAAATGTTCATTTAGTAAATGTGTCTGTTTGTGGCTCATAACAGTATTTTGTCTCACTCATTTCTCTTTGTCTCTGTCAGTACCCCTATGAAACTCTCTTCCGCAGTCAGCACTATGCTTTGCTGGATAATGGCTGTCGAGAATTCCTGTTCTTGTCTGATTTTTTCATGGTGGCAGGGAATTCAGCACTGGACTTGTTCAACAGCATTATGGGAAAAACACTCAGCATTTTTTTGGTACATTTATTCTCTTACTACAATCTGTGTATTTAAAGGAATGTCACATTACTGAGTATTTGTTTTCTTTTTTTTTCTTTTTTTTAGCATTCTCTAATTTTATTAATAATAGTTTTTTTTCTACCTGTAGAAGAATCTGTCTACATACTTGTCAGACTGTTACGATAGTATTGCAGTATTTCTCTGCATTCACATCATTCTGCGCTTCAGAGCCATCGTAGCCAAGAGGAATATCCCTGCACTTGACAAGTCAGTCCCTGTCAGTACAAACACATTCTTATACCCCTTATTGGTAGTTTTTTTTTTTTTTGATCAAAAATACACCATCAACAATTACTAAAAAAACTTAAAAGAATTGTTTTGCTCTCGAATGTGCTTCTGGCTTGTTACTTTTCAAATATTAACTTTGTTTGAGTTTTTGAATTTGTGCAGAAAAATGTGTGGTGGATTGTTTACTTATAGATTACAGGCTTTGCATATTACATTTTTTTATAACAATACCTGCTGTTCCAATAGTTTTATGACAGTTTGTGTTTGGTGTAAGTTTTTGAATTGCTTTTGTTTTTGTGTGTGTGATGTGCAGGTACTTAGAGGCTGTGCTAGAATTGTTGTGGCCGAGATTTGAGCTGATTTTGGAGATGAACATCCAGAGTATTCGAAACACTGACCCTCAAAAACTGGGTGTACTGGATACCAGACCACACTACGTATGAAGCCTCACACACAAACACATGCTGAAATTTCACATTCATTTTACACAACATTTTGTGAGTTGGATGCCCCCTAAAATTAAGGTGTTTCTGGTTGTGAAATTATTAGTCATTTTTGGCAAACAGGTGAGATATCTGAGAACACCAGACAAAAAAAGGACTGCAATATGAAATACAGGGCTATATTCACTACATAATATGCAACCAATTATAAAAAGGTATGGATTTGTGCCTAATGTTAGCCTCTTTGACCCATAACAATGTACAGTACCTATAACTGTGAGTAGTGTTGGGGAAAGTTACTTTTGAAAGTAATGCTTTACAGTATTGTGTTACTCCCCAAAACACTTTTGTACTTTTTATTTTAATAGTGAAGCAAAATGAGCATTGAGACAATCCCCTTTTATGCATCTTCCTTGAGTTCAGAACAATAAGAATACTTCGAGTGCACAAAAGTGAGGCTTTGCCATCTTGGTTTCTGTTTGTTTCTGCAGGGTGAAAATTCTCTAATTAAAGGTGCAGTAGGTTGTTTTGCCAAAATGCTAACCCATTATTATCTTTGGGTGGCAGAGGAGGGACAGTGTTTCAAAGCCACGCCTCCTGAAATCGCGAGCAAGCGCACTGCAACATGACAGCAGACACTTGTTCATGTCATTCTCCAGTTAGAAATGTAGTTAGTGGTTGGCAGGAATTACACTTTTTACTAAGCCACACTTACATGCTATTTCAGGGAATTGTCTGCCCGACAATATTCAATTGGATAAACATTTTATTTATTTACCCAGAATATAAAAATATATAAATACATTTAGATTTATTACTTTAATCATTACTATTGGACTGTGAAGAGACTTTCAACCAGCACAACAAAAAATGTTTTTGGAAGACAATCACCTACTGCACCTTTAAGTGCGGGATTCAACTTTAATTTTATTTCAGCTATATATTTTATAAAAGCAAATTAATTAAACTAAAAAGTAACTCAAATAATATTACTTAATTTTTTTAAGTAATGTGTTACTTTACTTGTTACTTAGAAAAATAATATTGTTACATAACTTAATTATAATGCGTTAATTATAATGTGTTACCCCCAACACTGACTGTCAGGATGTTTGTGTGCTTTTTTATACAGTTTCTATTTTAATTTGCAGTTTAAATTGACATGCAAAGTAAAAGTATTAATGGCAGATTTCCTTACAAGCAAATATTAATCCGACACCAAACATAAAAGCAGACACTATAACATCATCACCAGTGACTAAATCTCCAAAAGAAAGATCATCAGGGAATTGTAGCTCTGACAGGTACATGAAATTACTGAAAAACTGCTGCGAGTTAAGTATATTGAAGTATCGCAAGTGCTGAGTTTGCGATCATATCTCTGTTTTGTTCTGTTGTGATCCAAAATTCATAGCTTAAAACAAATGGAAATATGACTGGATTGTGCTGCTTTTACGTCCTCCCACACATCTTGATCCATGCTTGGCATTTCTCCCCTTGGGTTTTAAGTTTTGAAAAGGGAATAAAAAATCTACCACCTCATTCAAACTTTTAGGATACCGGTTATGCTAAACACACGGCCCTCCCACGCCTAGCTACGGTTGCTAAGCCATGATTATGGTGTGTGATAGTTTTTGATTGTAGCTTAGGGTCAGTAACAACAACAAATCAACAAATTATCAGTGATTATTACTGCTTTTAAATTTTACTAGATTTATTTATTTATGTTGTAACCTCAAATTATAACCCATCCCCCCCCCCCGTTCTCTGATGCATATTTATTTTGCTATTTAATTATTTTTTTAAATTTGGTAACTTTATTTTTGTTGTGATTTTTTTTCTGATTAGGTGTGTTGTCACATCAGATCATTATCTAATTTTTGCTCCTTCTTATGTATCTTCCTTCGTCATACCAATCACTAGCATGTCCTTAATCCGCACATTTCCTGTTGTCTTTCCCTTCACCTCCTGCCTGGTGGATCCATTCTCAACTATGTTTTTGTTCTAACCAGGCTAGGCTGCATTTTTTCCCCAAAAATACATTAACAGTAATAAAAATGTTTCTTCCAAAATATTTACATTTTTCTTGCAAATATATTATGAAGTTCTGTAAAAAATCTGAATTTTTATCAGCTATTACTCCAGCCGGGTACATAATCTTTAAGTAATTCAAATAAGCTGATTGGCCCCCTCAAGAAAAACTTTCTATTATTTAACGCTGAAAACAGTTTTATCACTTTTCAGCAAATATACATTAAATTGAAATTTTGTAATGAAATTACAAATGTTCTGTTTGTCAAAGAATCCTAATAAAACATCTAAAATTATAAATCATAATTAATGCAATCCACTAATCCACTGTTTAAGTGAGACCATAATGTTAATTATTTGCTGCCCTGTTACAAAACTAAAGTTAAACAAGAGAAGCCTACTGTAATAGAGATATTGCGATTTGGTCTGAGGACTGTAAAGAGAGACTGAAAGGCGTTATGATGATACAGATTGGGACATCTTTTTTGATAATTGTGCAAATGTGAATGAGATAACAGAAACAATAACATCTTATGTTATTTTTCTGTGAGAATAATGTTGTACAACTAAAACTGTTAAAATATACCCTAATAACTAGGTTTGGGTCTTGCATGAAATTACAAATGTATAAGTAAGAAAAGGGCTGCTTTTGCACAAGGTAATATGACGCTTACTGAAGAGGAAAAAAATGAACTCATATTGATTATTTTAAAAATCCAGAGCACAATATAGAGAATGGAGAAACACTTTGTCACTGGTGATGCTCGTAAAGCATGGAGCAGTCTAAATAGTATGATAGGCAGAGAGACACTGAAGCAACACTGCTTATATAGAATATCTGTCATCCAGAAATTAATCAAATATTTTTTTTTATAGTAGATTTGATAAAAGCACACATGCAGGTAGATTTGACGGAGTGGTTAGCCATGTTAAGATTATTATTTCTCTTACAGAAGTGGAGATATAACTTGTTGTCATTCACATGTTATTAAGCACCTGACCTGAATGGTCTCAAAGGACAGGCAATAGCAGGGTGCATTTACCAATAGAAAGAGGTTTTCACATTAGATTATTAATAGATTATTTCCGGTCTTGCTTGATGCACATACAGTCAACACATACCACAGTTTACTGAGGTAAAAACTAAAGTATACTAAAGCCTTTATCCCTATAGTTAAACTATAGTCATTTACATAGAGTTGAAATTACCTTTAAATATAACATAATACACTTTACTGTAGCATGGTTCAAAAAGGCCATAGTATTTACCAGAAAAAAATTTATTTTTATTTTATTTCATGTAGGTAAGAATCACATCACACCAGAGACTGGAATATGGCTGGAATGGCTGCTTTGCATAACAAGAAAACATAACAATTAAATTAATAAAAATAGTTTAAAACTGTTATATTAACTAATTCATTTTGAAAATATTATTGTTTCTACTCTTATGACTGATAAAATGAATGCAGCTTTGATCAGTGGAAGGGATCGATTTCAAAGTGATTTACACAATGTGTTCTGTTCATAAAGAAATGAATGCATGTGTCATGGTGTATAAATTGCATGTAATTTTGTTTTATCTTTTTAGATCACACGTCGGTATGCTGAATTCTCCTCTGCTATTGTTAGCATAAATCAAACATTTCCTAATGAGAGGACCAACACACTTCTTGGGCAGTTGCAGGTGAGCAAAAAAGCAATGCTCTGCCCTTAAAAGGTAAAGTAGCGCATGTTGAAAACTGTTTAATATGGATCTAATTTTCAGATTGAGGTGGAGAACTTTGTGCTGAAAATGGCGGCTGAGTTTCCCTCTAGACGAGACCAGCTAATTTTCCTGATAAACAACTATGACATGATGCTCAGCGTGCTTATGGTAATGTTTCTTACAAATCACGCCACACCATTTATTAAACGTTCTGTAGTTCTGTAGGTTATAATACTATGTTTATGTATGTGTTTATGAAGGAGAGAGCAGCTGATGACAGTAAAGAGGTTGAGAGCTTTCAGCAGCTTTTGCTGGCGAGAACACAGGTACATCATGGGGTACTGAGTATCAGCTCATATTGGACCTGTCTTGTGGAACTGAAATGTGTAATGTGCATAACAATTGTGTATTGGTGTGTTATAGGAATTTATAGAGGAGATTCTTTCTCCTCCATTTGGAGGTATGATTGCGTTTGTGAAGGAGAGTGAGGCACTAATGGAGAAAGGGCAGCTTGACAAACTCAAAAATGATGAAGGTCAGAGCTGTTTTCATTAAGATTTCAATTTCATGTCATTCCAAACCATTAAGGCTTCTGTTCATCTAGGGCTGGGCGATAATTCGATATCGATAATTATCACAATATAAAATTTTTCGATATGACGATATTGACAGTTTGATAATTGCTCGATAATATTTACGCACTATGCGTAACATTGCGCAAGCATTTTGCAGCCTGCCCTTCCGGATGCTGCACGCCGTACAAGTTTACAGCCATACATTGTTAGTTGTACTTAAAGGAGTAAGAAAAAAGGGTAAAAAAGGTCAGAGTCACAAATATTATTGACAAGAAATGTCACTAGACCTCAGTCTTGAGCTACTTAGCTTATTGCTATCGACACAAAACAGCAACGTGCACTGCAAACTGCCCAAGACAACTCGTGTCATCACACGCAGGCAACACCACAAGCCTGTTTCATCATTTAAAACAAGACCACCCTTATAAAGATGCTAAGAAATTACAGACCTAAACAAGTGCTGGAAAACCAGGGCAACTACCCAACAGAGTCTCATGTCATCATTTTCGAAAGCCGTCCTTTATGAGAAAAAAACCCAGAAAAGAGACGAAAGATATGACAGACAACACAATCTCAATCACATCTCAATGAACACTTGAAGCTTGCTCTGGCTGCATTAAGGATATTCACACTACAACAGTTACACTAATAAAAATAACATAATAAAGTAGCAAATTCAAACTAAGGCCATGCGCAGAGCGCAAAATGCAGGGCGCAAACGCTTCCAGGGCGTGTCAGAACGCATTTGTGCTAATTTAAGGACGGGAAAATCCGCTTTGTACCATGGCGCATGGTCTAAAAGGGTTGAGTTTATTTTCTTAATGAGTTATAGGTGTTTTTTGAGAATAAACCAATTAGAGCCTTATCTCCCATTACCATTAAGAGCCAGCTGCGTCGCGCCATAAGCACATTTTGACAAAGTAAGTTCAATTTTGCTTTTGCTCTCATGGATAGGGAAACCTTTATGCACAGACATCAATTAGCCTATAAATAATTAATTTCGTTTGTTAAGCGCAAAGATTTGTTTAAAAACTATTTCTAAATTCAGTTCTAATTTCTAGCAAACTAATAAATGAACAATAATAACCAAGTGTGGTCAAAATTGAGTTTTTTCCAAATACACCTGCCATGCCCCATATAGTCTAAAATTTGACAGGTGGACAAATCTAAGCTTGTTTTTAATAAAACAAATATAAATATGGATATAATAAATAATACTGCTAATAATAATAACATTATACAAAAGCAAATTGAATGAACTGAAAAAGCCTCCCGAGATGAAGAAAGTAAGGCAGTGGTTTTTAAATCTTCATGTAAGCTAGAAATTAATATGTTTTGTAATATTTAAATCATTTACATTTACATGCAGACGCTTTTATTTATATCCTGTATATATCCTTATTATATATATATATATATATATATATATATATATATATATATATATATATATATATATATATCCTTAAGATGTTATATATTTTTCATATGTAAAGATATTTGCGTATTGCTCTGCATCTTGTTTGTAGTGTGTAAGCCAGGCGCACTTTGCGCCAGACAATAGACCGACTTTGTTCTGGTCTAAAGATCAGACTATTTACAGTTTCTCAAAATAGCAACGCGCCAAAACACGCCTGCTTTTTTAGACCAGAACGCCTATGGGCACACATTTGAGCGCAAATGCATTTGCTATTTAAACATCGTGGAGCAACACCTCAAAATGACCCTTGCGCCGAGCTAAAAGTAGCAAAAGAGTATTGCGCTGCGCCTTGCGCCACATTGCTCCGGGTGTATGTTAGGGCCCTAAGTATCAAACAAAAATTTGTTAAACTCCAAGGGGATGATAGTGAAGCCAAACAAAAGAAAAATTTAACAAAACAATTCTAATTTATGAATAACCCCTCTTACCTCGCTAAAAACTGATGAAAAGAAAAAAAGTCCTTCAGCGTAGTACGCCGCATTCTTCCTCATAAAATAAATATAAAGATGACATTCACCTCTTACCTGATGTCTTTAACAATACATTTTCTACGTGTTTGCAAAATGTAAGTCGGTCGACATCTTCCCTATCCACCTTACTCTGAGAAAAGTGTGAACTTGAGGAGATAGCATATAGCTCAATATTGTCGAGAAAGAGCCGAGCCAAAAAAATAACATACAAAGCAATCTAAATAAATATGAACAAAACTCACAAAATTTCTCAGAGTGGGCAAAAGTAATGCAAAATAGTTTTACCCAAACGAAAGTTAAGCAAAAACAACGAAAAAACGCACTCTCCGCTTTTCATTTCCCCGCGCGGCCGCGCCATCTCCACCTGTGTCTCAGACTGCACCGTGTGTTGTAGGAATGATTCTCCTCGCAAGATGCTGCAGTCGTGGAATAAGCGACCTTGTTTCTCCCAAGACGATGGCAGATTTTTCTCTGACTCCTCTAACTGAAACTTTGAACAGTAGGCTATCTTGCACTTCCTCCATTATTATTGGGCGTCTCATATCTTCCCATTCTGCAAAGCCCACTCTCTGCTTTTTCGCTGCTCCACTGCCATGTCCCACTATACACCTGCAACCGACCTGCAATTAGCTAATTATAATGTATTTTTTATTACCCGACCTGCGGTTTATCTGTAGCGCCCGCAGATATAACCGCTATTTACGCATTACTAACGGGAGGCAAAAATACAACCTTTACGGCTACAACCGTAACATTAGTTTCAGACAAAACTGCAATGCATTTTACTGCTGAATATGTCATGTAAAAACACTGTGCAAACACAGTATATGTATATTTTTCATTAATTTAAACAGAAACCTATCTATCTAAATGAAAACTTAATCAAAAATGAGCATCACTATGTCTGTATGTATGCACAGAGATCAAGCCTCTCATCTGAGAATGTGGACATTGTGCTGTTCTTGAAGAAGAACTTAAAACTTATTTAAATATTCCAAATGTCCTTAGACAGGACAAGCCTGTTTATCTTTCACTAGTCTACACTGCAGTTATTTATTTAACTTTAGTTTACTTAGTTAAGATGGCTGCACTAAAGATAATAGTTTTTTCTGATTGGTCTATATTGGAGGTATTTATTTAATTGTTGTTGTTTACTCGGGTATCCTGACTGTACTAAAATGTGAAAACTGAAAATTCTGTGACCATTAACTCACCTTTACTTCCAAACCGGGTTGTTCCAAACCGGTTTTATTTTTATTTTTTTCTGATGTTAAACAATAATATCCAATAACTTGTAGGTAATGTCTTTGGTTGTTGAAAACTTGAACTGTAAATGCTGAATTAAGATTGTTCTTTTGTTTATTATTGTATTATTTATATTGTCAGACAGCTAAAACATTTAACTTAATGTGTTAAATCAGCTGCACAGAGCATTTGGCATACTGAAAATCTTGTAAAATGGATAGATATAAAGATTTTACGTTTATCGTGATAAATATCGACATCGACTGATACAAAAAAAATAATCGTGATAATTTTTTTTGCCATATTGCCCAGCTCTATGTTCATCTTTTAGTGTACTTTCACACTAGCTCTTGTGGTTGGTGCTCATCTGGGTTTATTTGACATCAGAGTTTGGTTCATTTGGCTAATGTGTATGGCGAGTGAATAGTGATACAAATCACCAAAGGACACTGTACTTCTAGCTGTGAAACCTTCACAGATGTGTGACACCCATGTCACCTCAAAATGTGATTAATGTGATTATTGAGATATAACACAATTTAACAATTTAATATAACACCCAACATAAATTATAAATGATAGTGTTGAACAGTAAATACTGGGATAATAGTTTCTAGTTTACATATAAACACTGGTGTTTACGGTAAGGATTAAATTATTAAATTAAACACTGTTTAAATGACAGTGCTTTTAACTTGACGTTCAAAAATAAAAGTTGTAGCACCAATTGCATTATTTCACCAGCAGGTAGATTCAGCCATCAAAATTTGCCACTAAATAATTCTTCAGAAATTATACACATAGTAATGAAACTTGACGTTTTATGAGTGAATTACTCGATCATACATTGAAAATGAGACAAAAAAATAAATACAATGTGTTGTTTAAATTATAATATTAGATTTTTACATTTAGCATTATTAGCAACTGTAGCAAAGATCATTTCTCACAGTATTGCATATTTTATGATTTATTTTTATTCAATGGATTATTTATTTATTTATATTTTTCTTAATAAAATTGCAGCTTCTATTTGTTCTATTTGTTAAAACCAAAAGTTTCTCGTAGTACTATTTCTGTAATATATATATATGTGTGTGTGTGTGTGTGTGTGTGTGTGTGTGTGTGTGTGTGTGTGTGTGTGTGTGTGTGTGTGTGTGTGTGTGTGTGTGTGTGTGTGTGTGTGTGTGTGTGTGTGTGTTATACGCTTTATCTTCCTGTGTCTATTTGTCAGCTCGTATTACTCAGTTGGTGCGGGGATTCTCCGGCACATGGAAGCAGTCTGTGGAGGCCCTGAGTCAGGATGTTATGCGCTCCTTCACCAACTTTAAAAACGGAACCAGCATAATTCAGGTACAACATAATGGCAACTTAAAGTTTTGGGACAATTTTTGTCCTAATGGTTTTCTTTATCTATTTACAATGTGCTGTAACAAATTTGAAATCATTATGGTTGTGTTCACTAGGGAGCGCTGACCCAGCTCATCCAGTACTATCATGGTTTCCATAAGGTCCTCTCCCAGCCAACATTCCGCAGTCTGGCAGTGCGCTCTGAGCTCATAAACCTTCATCATCTGATGGTGGAAGTCAAGAAACACAAACCAAACTTTTGAATGCAACACTTAAGGAAGAAAAACTTTACAAAAAATAAAATAAATAAACAGCTTTCAGAAAATCTATTGACATATTTAAAGGGATAGTTCAAACATTCATTCTTTTTTTTTTTTTTTTGGCTTAGTCTCTTCTTCAGAGGTCACCACAGCAAAATAAACTACCAATTATTCCAGCATATGATTTACAGGGAAAGACCCATACACACGCATTCTAACACATTGTAAACTACGACCATTTTAGTTTATTCCATTTACCTCTACCGCATGTCTTTGGGCTGTGTGGGGTAACCGGAGTGTCCAGAAGATAATTACACGAACCCAGGGATAACATGAAAACAGAAATGCCTGCTGGCCCAGCTGGCGAACCAGCAACATTCTTGCTGTGAGACAACAATTTAATAATTAAGGAACATAAATTTTAAGGCACACTGGAAACCAGTAAACATTGACTTTTAAAGTTAATTATATACTATGGAAGTCAATGGCTACCAGTTTTCAAAAAAAGAAACAGGTTTGGAACAAATTGAGGTAAAGTACATGAGAGGCAGTTGAAAGAATTTTTATTTTTGGGTGACCTTTTTCTTAAACAGAAGTGTGGGTTAATTTTTGTTTCCACTTGGAGTACTTTCTTTCTTTTTGATATTATTAAGAATCATTCAGTATCTTGTTTTAAGCTGATTATGGTATTTTTCATTAGGTGCATTTGATTAGTTTTTCTCCAATGCAATTTGGTTTCTAGCTGTTTAATTTGTAAATGTACTTGCAACTTCACTAAATATTTTATTTATTGTTTTTTTTATTTTAATTTGTGTATGATCTGCATATAATCACATATTTAACCAATCAGAAAGTAAACATTGACCTGTCTTTTGTTTTTCACTGAAAAGTTCTTTATGGATGCATTATTGTTGTATTTAATTTAAAATAATAAAAAAAATACATCTTTTGAAAAAAAAATGCAGCATATTACAGTTTTTCTCAGTCGCTTTGGTGCATTTCTCACTACACTTACATTTGCACAACAGTTAATGCATTTTTCAAAACAATTAGTGCAAACTGCGAAACCTAGCTGTCAAAATGAAAAGTCCTGACACCATTGTTTATGAACAAGATAGTCAAATGGCTTTTCATTAGTCAAATGTCATGTCTTCATTATGACAGTTTACTCTGTACATTTTTTCAATGCAAAAAAAGTTAGATTTTGGTGACACGTCATGAAAATGCTTAAGACAGCACTATATATACTATTAGCACAGCCATTTGAACACTACAGTAAAGTTAGACATCACTGCACTGAGTGAGGTATCTAAGTACAAGACACTGAATATGTATGTTTCACAATTTTACTGCATTTGCTCTTTGCAATCCTAATTTACTCACAGCATTGTGCAAAAGAATAAACACACCCTTATTTACAACAAACATAAACTCCCTTTAGGTAGAGCTGTTCACAACTGTGAACAATATTGCAGTACATATTGGAACTGAGCCTACAACATACACAGGTCTGTAAATCATTCATCAAATTGTTAAATTTTAATGACATTTTCAGGAAAATAAAGATTTAAATTTGTTTTATAAAATTTGTTTGACAGATTTTGACAACTAGTTCACCATTTTTGTATGTAATGACTCAAGTAATGAAATGAGGACTATTAGTTTTATATGGAATGACTATTCAGCATTTACAAATTTAGTTCATTTTGACGGACATGACAGAAGCAAATGATAATGTTATAAATAGCAGAGAGTGGAATGAAAGCAATTGATGCTTGTCCAAAAGCATTCACAATTTGTTGAAAAGAATGAGAAACTGCTACTAGGATGTGCACAAATGACTAATTGTTTTGAGAAATGCATTAACTGTTGTGCAAATGTAAATAGTGTAGTGAGAAATGCACCAAAGCGACTGAGAAAAACTGTAAGCTGAAAGTTCTAATCATTTGTACTTAAAGGGGTAAATTAGTGCCTTGGTACCATAAAAATTCATGTTATCAAAGTGCACACCTAAAAAGTATAAAAGTCTACCTTTTAAAAAAACCTTGTTTTAAATATTTATTTTCAGAGTTTACTATCTCACCAGCATTCGAAAATGGATGTCTGGAAAGAGGTCTTTTGCTGATGACCCTAAATTTGTGCTGTATAGGATTTATATGACTGGTAGTATTTTGCATAAACAACATGGAAACATGGATTTTTCCTGCTACTGTATATATCAACAGCTCAGGCTTGTGGTGATGATTTAATAGTGTAAAGGATACTTTAGAACACTTTCAAATACCACATGTATGTTGCTGGCCATTTAAATTCCTTTAAAAATAGAATACATCTCAAACTTATTCCCATGTCAATGATGGAATCACCATAATGCTGGGAAATTGTACTGACCAGTGAATTTTTCTATCAAAAATAGGGGTTTAATGCATCACAATTCTCATGGTTCATATCACATAATGGTTTTTGATTATAATAATAATCAAATAATAATTTTTTTGGATCAGCCAAAAAGGGGAGAAGACAAATATAATTTGCTTTCTGTTTATTACAAAAATAGTCCTGCAAGAAACTTTTGGTTTTTCACAAACCTAAGCCATAATTTTGATTAAAAAACAAAAAAAAAAAAAAAAAAAACGAATAAATAGCCAGCTTAAATAATTATAAAAAAGAAAAATATGCAATACAATGAAACGTGATCATCGCTACTATTACTGATTATGCTATATATAAAAATGTAACAGTATAATTTGTACAACAAATATTTATCTTTTCAGTTACATTCACAATAAATGAATGAGTAATTCACTCATAAAACCTTTCATTACTAGATGTATCATTTTTGAAGTGGCATATTTTTGAAGGCTGGTTCGCTAATGTTTTGCCCTCTGTAAACGTCCCCAGTGGCGGAGATCGCGGAGTGAGCTCATGAAAATATACTATGATAATTTATTCAATTCAATTCAATTCAGCTTTATTTGTATAGCGCTTTTACAATGTAGATTGTGTCAAAGCAGCTTCACATAAATGGTCATAGTAATTGGAACAGTGTGGTTCAGGTTTTAGTGTTTAAGTTCAGTTCAGTTCAGTTTAGCTCTGTTCAGTGTGATTTAATCATTACTGAGAGTTCAAACACTGAAGAGCAAATTCATCGATGCGTAGCTCTACCAATCCTGAACCATGCGAGGCAGTGGCGACAGCGGAGAGGGAAAAAAAACTTCACCTGGTGGGAGTGAAGAAAAAAAACCTTGAGAGAACCAGACTCAGTTGGGCACGACCATTTTAATTTCTCCGCTGGCCAAAAGTCTTGTGCAGAACTTCATTCGCCGTGGTTTATGCTGGAAGATGGCCTCAATGAAGACTCGTCTGTCCCTGGAGCGTCGCTGGAATCAGACTCATGTTCTCCACTCCCCACGACCATCAGCGCAGCAGCAGCTCAGGATATGGCCTGGTCCCGGATATGGAATCCTTGGGATCATCACGTCGCTGGTCTTGGATCCAATCAGTGACTCCGCCTAATCTGAGGACCTCGGGATGAGTATCCCCAGGTGAAAATAGAGAATAAAGAGAATAATTAGCGTAGCTGCTGTTCATAGTGTATATAAGCAAGATGTAGAAGCCAGTGTGGAACCTGCTAGGTGATGCACTGAGTGTATGCTTTACTAAACAGATAGGTCTTTAATCTAGTTTTGAACTGGGAGAGTGTGTCTGAGCCTCGGACATTACCAGGAAGGCTATTCCAGAGTGTAGGAGCCATGAAAGAGAAGGCTCGACCTCCTTTACTTGATTTTGCTATTCTAGGTACTACCAGAAGCCTTGAATTTTGAGATCTTAAGGAGCGAGTTGGTTCGTAGCGAGACAGAAGGTTGGTTAGATAAACAGGAGCTAGATTATTTAGAGCTTTATAGGTGAGAAGTAATATTTTAAATTCAATACGAAATTTAACAGGCAGCCAGTGTAAGGAGGATAAAATTGGGGTTATATGATCATATTTTCTAGACCTGATCAGAACTCTGGCTGATGTTAATCTTTATGTTAATTATTATAGTGTTTCTGAACTTTTTTTTTCAGTATTGGGTTATGTTTATAGTTTTTGTTATACCAGAGCAAATATAGAAGTTAAATAGGCTATTAGCCAGTTTGGTATTTATTGGGTAGCAATTATGAATGATTTTGATTGATGTAAAGCTTTATTAGAATTTAAAAAAAATATTTTTTACTAAAGAAGTCACTAAATATATTATTCCAAAAACCTGTGCTAAGAACTAATGAAGTGGATATCTTTGTTTGAAAGAATTGAAAAGAGTTAAATCTGAACTCAAATACCTAGGTATTGTATGTAAAGAACAAAAATGAGATCAAAGCTAGAGTTTGCATGTAGTACTACAAATTTTATGTAATTTTGCTCATATTAGTAATTAAATATTAATCGGATGATGTCAGTACGCTGCTGTGCCGGCAGCCAATCGTTGCATTGCTGATCCTGATTTCGAGGACTGATAGATCTGTCCTTCACAACACACTCAGCAATTTCAGATCAGTTTATCCACTTTTTTTTATATATATATATATCTATTATTGGTCATTTTGCCTTTATTAGATAGGACAGAAATGAGACAGGAAACAAAGTGGGAGAGAGAGTTGTCGGGGTGGAAAATGTCCTCTAGCCGGGATTCGAATTCAGGATGCCCTAGTGTGGTAAAGTTGGTTTTGTTTTCGATATTTCTGACACATTCAGTCATAAACGGCAATAACTCAAAAAACCTCTTACCCTAAAAAGATATAAAGTGTGTTTCCTACAAAGTTATTGCAGTTTATCACTGAATGTGTCAGGAATATTGAAAACAAAACCAACTTAACCGCGCTGGATGACCTGACGTGCTACTGTTGGAGTGCTAACTCATCAAGACATTGTAATATGATTTGTGAACTCATTTGAAGAAACAAATTCAGTTATCAATATTAAAAGATCCAGGAGCTGTCAAATCATCTTAGATTGTCTATGCGAGGTACGAAGAATGGATCCTAAAATAAAGCAGTTTTTGTTTTGTGGTAGAGGTACACAGTAAATGGCTATTGTCATGATGATCATTGCAGATGCAGACTGCAAACCTAGAGCGTCAATTTTCTAAAGGTCAATGGGAGGCTATGCTGTTTCAGTAAAGCAAAACGTAAAAAAAAAGATTGAGTTTACCGTGAATTTCAGGATATTTAACTGGCATGTTGATGTTGTTGGTTTAGTCATGTTGTTTTCATCCACATATGGTTTACTGTCTTTTTGTCTTGACAACAAATGTGAATTCTCTCAGCTGTTGCCATGATATTATAGTTTAATCAGACAGACAGAAAACCTTATAGATGATAATGCAACCACACCCCACATTTACTGTGGGGCAGTTACTATTCAAATGTGCGTGTGTGTGTCATGCATCACACACCAAGATTAATTCTGATTGGATATTTACCAAAATACATCCCTCAATCACATTCTCTTCTCATTTTTTAACGAAAATGTAATTATGTTTTAATCATAGTTATTGTCATCATCACTTGTGTGTTAAAGACTAGCTTCTTCCCTCCTTGTTCTGTGTAGTTACAGGGTTGCTCTTGAAGGTAGTAAAATAAATATACAAACACACTATATTTCTTTACTTTGCAACCTTTATTTTACTAAATATGGATTTTAAAACACTTTTTTCATCTCATAATCATTGTCTTGTCTATCATTTTGTATAATTAAACAACAAAATGACACATTATTTCCTTCCCCCTTATTTATGCAACTCTTGCTTGGCCTTTTTTCTGTTATTTTTTTTTCTTAACCTCCACAAAGGACTCTGATGGTGAGTAGCTGATTGAATTCCATGGGTCTTACTGCTATGCATTTTATAAACTGTGGGTATGGAAAGTGTTCAGAACCCCTTAATTTTGCTGTCATATTGCAGCCATTTGCTAAATTCATTAAAGTTATTTTTTTCTTATTAAAGTTTTTCCTGTTTGCTTTGACCTTGTTAAAGAAACTAGGTTACACTTCATTTTTATTTTCACTATCCACTAGCAGAGCAAAAGACCGGTCTTGCAAATGTGTAAACTCTTTCTCATTGGGTTGCCACATTTTCCCCACCATTTTTCAAAACAGCTAACACGGATGTCCAAACTCCATTGTTTTAGTTATGGTAACCAAACAGAAACCATCTATTCCTAACTATTAGAAACTACCAACATCAATATGAATTCAGTGAAGCACCGGTTTGACACTCCTTCACACAAATCTTCAAAAAGCAATCAGTCTGCAAACCTTATAAAACAGTGGAAGGTCTGTGTTGTTCTGTGACAGCATGGATAGAGGAGGTCAATAGTGGCTATGTCTTATACTCCCAAAAGATTTGACTGTATATTGGTTTACATGTGTTTTCTCTAATATTTACAGTGATTTATTACTTTTGTCTGTTTTACAGTATTTCAGTTTTCAGCCACAGTTTGAAAATTGTCCTGAATTCAATATAAATGTAATCAAAGCATTTCTTATTCTGGATTCAATTCTTTGCAAAAAGGCAAATTTGACAGCCTAACAAATGGCATTGGCAATAGGCTACAATGACAAGCAATGGTGGTGCACTGAGTTCTGTATTTTGTATTTTGTATTTTGTTGTCCATTGTGTAATGATTAATTGAAAGAGCTCATATACTTGTTTGCAAGTTGTGTTGTTTGAAGGTAAAACTAGCCTTTGTTGCATATTTTAAATGTTTTGACACAGTATGTGCCTTTTGCAAGCAAAATGTGTCATTTTGACCATGAGTGCCGCTGTTTAGGCCTGTGTGTTAACTGTTTTGAAAATGTGGAGTTTTAGTTGACAACTACATCCAAGCAATCGAGAAAAACTGTATTAATTATATTAATTATTTTATTTTTAATAAATCTGCAACAATTTCAAAACATCTTTTTTCACATTGTCATTATGGGGTATTGTGTGTAGAATTTTGAGGAAATAAATCAATTTAATCCATTGTGGAATAGGGCTGTAACATAAAAAAATAAAATAAAATGAAAAAGGTAATGCGCTATGAATAATTTCCGGATGCACTGTATGGGTTGTGTGTGGGGCATCACGGTGGTGGAGTGGGTAGCATGATCACCTCACAGCAAGAAGGTCACTGGTTCGAGCCTTGGCTGGGTCAGTTGGCATTTCTGTGTGGAGTTTACATGTTCTATTCGGGTCAAGTGGGTTTCCTCAGGGTGCTCCGGTTTACCCCACAGTCCAAAACATGGTATAGATTAAATGGGTAAGCTAAATTGTCCAAAGTGTATGAGTGTGAATGGGTGGGTGTGGATGTTTCCCAGTGATGGGTTGCAGTTGGAAGGGCATCGGCTGCGTAAAATATATGTTGGATAAGTTGGGGACTAAGCCGAAAATAAAATAAAAATGTGTGTGTGTGTGTGTGTATATATATACATACATACATACACAGAAGGGCATCTTTAAATAAGATAGATCTATATGAAACCAAATGGTCAGATAAACCAAGATTTGGCAAAGATAATTGACACAAATGTACACTTTATTAAGGTTTGCTACTTTGCAAAAAAAAACTTTGCTACTAACAAATCATTATCTTAGACTTTTAAATAAAGTATTAATTTGTTGCTTAATAATAGTTAGTAGTTGGGCTTAGTAGTTGGGTAGAATAACGCATGTATTTTAGTATAAAATATCTTAATATGAAGCAGATAAATAAGCCAGTAATTTGTACTTAAAATAAAGTGTTACCTTACAATATTCAACCAACACCATTTATCAATTTTCTTTTTGGCTTAGTCCTTTTATTAATCTGGGGTTGCCACAGCAGAATGAACCCCCAACTTATCCAGCATATGTTTTACGTAGCGGATGTCCTTCCATCTGCAATCCTTCACTGATAAACATCCATATTCTTGTTCACACACATACACTATGGACAGTTTTATCCTACCCAATTCACCTATAGCGCATGTTTTTGGACTTGTGGGGGGTTACCGAAGCATCTGGAGGAAACCCACGCTAACATAGGGAGAACATGCAAACTCCAAACAGAAACACAAATGAACCCAGCCGAAGCTCGAACCAGCGACCTTTTTGCTGAGAGGCAATCTTGCTACCCACTGGCCACCATGACGCCCACATCATAACACTTATAATTATTTACGCAATAACTTTTTTCTTTATTTCCTAAAAACAGCAATTGCAAGTATGTTCTTTGTAGACAAATGTCTAGCTGGTAACTGCAGTCTCATTTAAGAACATGACTCTGGGTCCAAAAAAAGCAAAAACAAAAAAACAAAGAGAAAAAGTCAAATACAATTCAATGAAGTGATCACCATCCTTTATACAGACGAATTCCTTGTTTCTCGTGAAGCTTAAGTGCTATAAGATACTCATAGCTTCCTCCATGATTGCCAGCATTCCGAGGATGCTTTTTATGTTCAAAGTAATGATGCCAGTTTCCATCTTTATCTGCTCCAAACCCAAAAACACTCACCTAGACAAGAAATTAAAAAAAAAGTGACAATCAAATATATTTCAATGTTACCTTGTTTGTTTTTAAACTGTAGATATTTGTAAGTATAATGTCATTTTGTAAACATAGCCCTTCCACCTTTCAAGTGACTTTTTTCAGGATTATTCTAAACATTTGAAGATTGATAACTGAACCATTGTAGTTAAGTAAGTTTCAATCATAATTTTTCTCTCTTTATAAACTGGAATTTAGATAAAATTTGTATAGTAAAACACAAATCATCATAAAACTTTTAGACATTATACACACTCAAGGTGTATATTAAATCATTGTCATATTAAACATTTTTTTTTATAAACGTATTTTTGTTTGTTTGTTTTTTCAAACTATATACTATAGTCATACTATATCTATAGCCTGAAACAAATTTTTACTATTTTAAGTTAATCATAAATAAAATATATTTTTCTTGAAGGTTTAGCATTTATGTGCTTGAAAGAACTACTGAGACTAGGAGAAAATTTGTCATCTTCCAAGTTCAGATTTGCATAGGCCTATACCAATTTAACCATTGCTTTATGGGTTAAAAGGAAGGACTTACAGTAGAACAGACTTTTAGTGAAGAAATGAATATGTTTATGGCAATGTTAATATGTCTGAACTTGGTGGTATAGATCTGTTATGCTGCTGCTGCTTTGATTATCATGGCAGAGCAAGTACTGAGACCTGCTACTGCCAGTATATTCACAGGCATGGCATCTGAGCATTTAATACACTGCTGCTGCAAACATAATATATAATTAAGCCCCAAAAACAAGCAGGAGAACATGAAGACAAACAAACTAAATGTAACTGATTATGTGTAAACATCTATGGCAGAAGCAATATGCATCTTTAACACGAGTAGAATGGAATAGACAATGAGATAACACCTCCCAAAACAAGCAGATCTATTGCCAGGACATGTGTTTGTTTTATTTTTTTTATTGCCACCATAGGCTATAGGACTACATGTTTTCTATGTATGTGTACCAGGGCTACCTTGCTGACCGGTTTACGATAGTGAACTAGTGTAGGTGCCTGCGGAACCTTTCTGAATGGCTTATCACTAGTGAACTAGACTATATGTTGACATGGGGCGTCAGCGTCAAAGCTTCCCATTCACTTTGAATGGGTGACGTCAGGCGTTGCCGAACTGCTTTGTGGATCCGTCGGAGCCGCTTCTGAGGTGTTGCTTGCTGCAGAAGTAGGGACTAGCTCAACTTTTCAAGCACCGACGGAAGCATCAGCCAATCAGATCGCTGTATGCAAATACACCAGCTAGACAGTGCTGACTGAATCTTATTGGCTAACGCTTCTATGACGATCGCTTCAGCCCCAACTTCAGACACGCCTTCAGTCAAGCGTTGACGCTGAAGCCCCGTTTGAATGGGAAGTAAGCCCTTGTTACTTTGCTAACCAGCTAACGGTAGCGCACTAGCTTGTGTGTGAGGCTTGACACTGCCCAATGGCTTAGCATAAACCGTGCAATATGTGTTATTGTAGCAAAATATCATGTAGCAGCATGATAGAAATAAATAACCCAGCAACTACTTGAGGAGTATAATTAAATTATGGTTATGCATTGCCATATTCTGTGGATTCATCTTTTGATTCCAGTTAAGAGCTTTGTTCTTTATTGTTCAAACACACAAGCTCTTGTGAAAAGCACACACCCTGCTAAAATCGTGTGACAATTTGTGTCTGCCTAAACTGCCTGACAATCTATGTAATTATACAGGGTATATATAAGAGTAAAAGTATTATTATTATTTCTTCTTTTTTTGTTGGAACTCATTACATACATGTGTTAGAAATAAATAAATGAGGAGAGAACCCAGTCCAGGAAACTCAAAACAAGCAGAATTCCTTTATTGAGATGTGTTGGTTCATTTGCAGTCATATAGCATCTTCTAGAAGTCCACCAGTCTCCCTTCAGGAGTCTCTTACAGATCTGCAATCTGCTAGTTTTACCAGAAGTCTGAAAGCAAGTCTAAAATGAGTCTATCATATTTTTTTTAGGAAGAGGGGAGTGGCTAGGTGGAGTAATTTGTGCATAAGGTCTTACTGGAAATGCAAACCTTTTTAAATGACTCAGTTCAAGTGGGTGAACTGGATTGATCAGTTTATTAAGAAGAATCGCTAAACTGTTAACATATTTGTTAATGTGCGTTACATTTTTCACCTATTTCAATATGCTTCTGAGCTTGCACTCCCATGGTCTTTTCTTGTTGTTAAAGCTAGCATCACTGGTGCCATATGAGAATGCACCACTGACAAAACCCTGCTGAAGCTGATACAACTTTTATCTGTAGAGACAATTAAAAGTGACAGTGTTTGGGTGCTCTTCTTTTGTCTGAGATAATTAAATTACCCTTATTACTGAAATGTGTATAATCCACAGTGTTGTACACTTGAGATCCTCAACACAACAGAGATGAGGATCCAATTGCAGGTTTATTTGAATCATCAGACAGGCAAGGTTCAAACAGGGACAGACAGGAGCATGCGGCAAATCCAGATAGTGGTTAATATCACAAGTGGATTGTCAAGGAAACAATAACCAAACAAGGTCAAAAACCTGAAAGGCAAAACTAGGATAATGCTAAGTAACCCTCACTACTGGATACAAGATTAAGCAAAGCTTGTTAGAATATTATCCCATGTGATTAGTCCTAAACAGCTTCAGCTGTGTAAATGTAATCAGAGGGTGAATTAGGGCTGGTGTGTCTGTAAAGTGCAAGATGGGTATGTAGTTCAGTTGAATGTGAGTGTTCTCCAGCAGCCTGTAAGGGCAACACTGCTGGTGTTCATAACAGAGCCCCCTACTAGGAGCAGCTTCCAGGCACATGTTCATGCAGCAGAGTTGTGCCTAAAGTGTGTAGCTGAAGTAGATCTGGGATCTTTGGTTCAGCAGGTACTGGCAGGTCATACAACCCCATTAGGTCAGGAGGCACTGGTGGTTCAGACAACCCCAGTAGGTCCGGAGTCTCTGGGTCAGCAGACACTGGTTTGTCAGATAACCCAAGTGGGTCGGCAGCAGTGGTGGAAAGAGTACTGAAAAATCACACTCAAGTAAAAGTAGCTTTACTTGCCCAGAAATGTAGTGCAAGTCGAGTTAAAGTAAGTTAAAGGATTGAAGTAAAGTGTTGTAAATATTACTCAAAGTATGAGTAAAAAATAGTCAATTTAAAAGTACTCAAGAGTAATGAGTAGAGTGCATTACACTAGGAAAGGTTAATTCATTTACGTGTAATTTGTGCATGTGTGTAAACATTGTCATGTGCGTAACATAGTGCATTTAGTTATTGTTTGAGGCTGTAAGACTTGAGATATCACAATTATTTTCATGTCTTTGACAATGCAAACCTGAGCTGAAAACACAGAGACAGTCAGCTCCACAACCCAGCAGGTGGAAAAATTGCGGGAAAAACCAACTCCCCTCTTTTCCTCCATTTACATTCAAAACATCTCCCAAAACCCAGATGGTCACTAAGCCCCTTTTCACTCAGCTCACACAGAATGGTCATTTCAAAATATGAATGTTCTATATTAAAGTCACTTTATCTATCATGTTTGATATCATTTAAAATGTCTCAGTGCGACTGGTACAATGGCCTCTGTTTAATGACCAAGACTGACATGCTTGTGTTTAAGAGATTGTATACTTGGCTGGTACAAGACTCAGGATGGTAAAGGAATCCAAATAAACGAGAATAATATAAAATAACGAATCAAAGAGAATATTCAATTATAATCTTAAGTAATATTAAAAGTAACTAAATAATCGTATCAATGTTTTATAACTTGAGTCAGATAAAATAAAGGTAAATATATTAATATTCTAAACCACCTCATACTAAAATTGAAGTTAGATATGAGTTAAGTTTCAAGTAAATCAACATTGTGCACTGGAAAAACCGAATATGCAGTGAACCTTAGTCCACCAGTAGACACTGTCATTGGACTAACTGGCTGGACCTTACAAGGCCCTTCTGGTCATCATACAGTAAGTATCCATCATCTTCTCATCAGTTACATTCAGTCTAAGTAGTCTCTGGGTCACTGCGTGTAAAAAATCTTCTTAAACACTTCTAATGCTTCCAAACAGTTTGCTGCATGTCTTGAGGTAGTTCACTATGATGTGAATTTGCAGGACTGATTTTAATAATCCCCATAGACAGGAAATAATAAAGTAGTGACTGCAGGTTGTCGGAACGTTTATTTAAAAAATGTTTATTTTGTACTATTGTTTTTATATGCATGCTAGTTTAATAAATACTATTTCTGCTACAAAACAAATGAAAGATTATAATAAATTATTCAATTCAAGGCTGAAAGCTGCAAAGCAGTAATCAATAACTTAATTGAAAAATAATATACACCTAAACAAAGAATGGACACAAGAAAGGAAAAAAAAGTCTCACTTCTATAGCTCTTTAAAAGTTTTGGTTTGTGTCATTTTAAATACTCAGTCTCGTTATGTGCTGATTTACATTTTTCTGTGTTTGTGAAAAAAGCAGTATCTCGAGTATCGAGATGCTCTACCGTAGTAGAGCATCTCGATATGACCGCTCGCGCAGTAACATTCTTAGTAACAGCCGCAGTTGCAGTTAAACTCAGTAACAGTGAGCTTCTTTGTTGATGATGTGTAGTGTTGGATTTTTACATTTAGCGAACATTTGCGCTGAACATGCAGTGAATGCAACTATTCAGGCACTTTTCTCCGAAAACCCTCAATTGATCTCGGCTGGCAGGTCAACTTTCACCACATAATCTCTGTCATCGGTGCCATTATTTGCACCTTTAGTTGGGATTTGCAAACCTGTGTGCTTTTCTCTCTTCAGTCGTTTGCATTTGCCGCGGTCACATAAACTCCCTGTTATCTGACAGAGGGAAGCCTTTAGTGATTGAACAGCTGATATGAATCAATATAGCACCAATATAATAGTCTTCTTGCAGACATGGCTATAAGCCTTACGGCAAGGACATTTTCACAGTATTGTCTGATAATATTTTTTCTTCTGGAGAAAGTCTTACATGTGTTATTTCAGCTAAAATAAAAGCTTCTATTTTTATTTATTTTTTGGATAAAGATACAGGGATGATCTGTTGATTGTCCTCATAAATTTGTACTCTTAAAATGCATGTAGGGCTTTAACAATTATTCCAGAGCACTCTTAGAACTACAACCATTTTAAGTGCTGCTTAAGTTATGATGCTTTTTCGAAACAACCTATAATATTACGATCAGTCATCATTGTCTGGAGCCTATTGAATTTATTGCACTTTTTAAAAGACCCCTGCATGCTAGATAAAATGTTTGTAACAGCCGAAGCACACCGTGTATGTGCTGTTGATGTGTGTGTGTGTGTGTGTGTGGTGTAAGAACAAGCAAACTACTTAAAAGTGGCAGGCCTTCTGTGGTACTTGCTGTCTGAATTCAGAAGAAGTTTTTTTAAAGCTACCACTAATTCTGTGCGAGGAAATAATTTATGGATTTTGTATAAGCATAAAAACAAGGTATAATTTAAGATACAGGTAAAATAGTAATTAAAAACTATTACCTGGTCACAGATGTGCAGGGCAAATATAAGTGTAATAAAACCAGTGGATGGATATCTGCCATGTTTCTGCAGCCAATGTTCTTGGACATACTTCAGAAAACTAGGATGTAGGACCATCACCTAAAACCACAGACAGAAATTACACCGGTACACCTAGACAGTAATTATATTTAAGTTATTTGAATAAAATATTAAAACAACCCTTTTAGGCGAATGCCAAATACAGTAGCAAGTTAAACTTGTGGGCTAATATCTTGAAGCACTGACTGATTGACACTGACACACTTTGTGCTCACCTTGTTTCTGTTTGCTTTTATAGTGGGTTTTACTGGAATGTATGTTCTAAAGAGAAAGGAAAATATGCTATTATGACAATTTCTAAACAACTGCATTTATTATAGTCTAAACATTATATATTTGCATATACAAACTATAAATGCAACATAGGATCATTCTGAAAACGTAGCCCTAAATATGTTTCTGGAGATCACAAATTATGTAGCCAAAAGTACGTATGGCTGCATTTCATTTTTAAAACGAACGCTTCTGGGCGATATGATGCTGTTCCTTTTTTCGCTTACCAGCTGACCGCTTACCTCCATATGGACAGCTTTGCTGCTGTTATCAGTTTGTCCAGTTAGCTCGCCATGAATGTCAGTGAACTTGGGATGCAGAAAGGGAAGGAGGAGGGTGGGTCAGTCGATTGGTCAGCCAGTCAGTCGACAGCGGCCTCTGCTTGATTTAGGCAAGAACAGCAGGTGTGAGTGGCACTTGCAAGAGAAATTCATTCATTCATTCTTTTTTTTTTATTAATCCTTTTTTATTAGTCCTTTTATTAATCTGAGGGTTGCCGCAATGGAATGAACCGCCAACTCATCCAGCCCGTGTTTTATGCAGCGGATGCCCTTCCAGCTGCAATCCATCTCTGGTAAACATCCATACACACTTATTCACTCTCATACACTATGGACAATTTAGCCTAGCCAATTCACCTGTACCACATGTCTTTGAGCTGTGGGGGAAACCAGAGCACCCGGAGGAAACCTACGCGAATGCAGGGAGAACATGCAAGTTCCACACAAAAACGCCAACTGACCCAGCCCAGGCTTGAACCAGCGACCTTCTTACTGTGAGGCGACAGCACTACATACTGCGCCACTGTGTCGCCTGCAAGAGAAATTTGATATCTCAATAAGTCTACAAAGCGGCAATAAAACGTAGCTCCTGGGATGTATTTGGCGCACTCAAGAAATATAAATAGAGGTATGTTTTCAGAATGAGCCTGGGTTGTATAAATGTATTCAGCTCCACCCTGAAGAAGCATAATGCATATTTAATTGTATCTTTTATTTAAGATACAATTCATATTTATATTTAACTGCACATTTTAAGAATCGTGTTGTCTTACTCTGCTTTTACAGTGTTTTCAATTACATTATAGCATTAAAATACAATACAATACATTTATGTCTAGTATGGAACAAAATCAATGCCAAAAGTATTGAAAGAAAAAACTTGTCAAATAACACAAAAGGAAAAAAAATAATAATAATAATCACTTGAATTGCCAGGGTTTGTATTTTTAGATCATGAAATTTACTATAGCTGTTTATTTAAGCAGTGAATATTTTAACTAGAAATATTTCAAACACATTTTCATACTTTTAAATTCAATACTTCATATTCAACTTCCAATTATAATTTCCAAAATATTCAGTTCTGTTTAAAAATACGATGTGTAGTGTTCAAATGGCAATTTTCTGTCCGTTTTATTTAGGTTCAAAAATTTGTTTCTATAAATTCAGTGGTTCAACTTTAGTTGTTAAAATTTAATTTAAATTCAGGAACAGCAGGAGAAGAATGAACATCACCTTCTGTTTTTTCATTAGCAGGTGGAGATGGACCAATTTAATATTTTAAACCAGTAATTAGGTGAGGAAAAAAATCTAATAACAGCACAAAAGTAGCATTTAATTTTAATATCAGTGTCTGGACATTATGAGTATTAAAATGATTATGAGTGAACTGAGTAAGATCTTTTGGACATTTACACTTAGCGAGTGGTCTCATAAACCACACTCCTCAAATCTCACGAGGGGTCCAGCGACAAACGTTATTCTGCATTTGCGCATTTATCTGGTATCACTGGGACTGGTGAGTCTACATGCGCATAAACTGTCTTTTGACAAATATGATGTTACACATTATCTCTATCTCTGTTAATCTTATCTTTTATAGATGTAAACTTTTATTATTATTATTATTGACTGCTATAAAGAATTCAAACTGCACAAGAAAGAGAAACCGGAAAGGAAAATATTATAATGATGAAATTAAATAAACCAACACACAAGACCAGGGGTAAGCACAATTAGGAACAAAGATGTTAGTAGCAAAACCAGGAAAATATAAAGAGATTGTCACACAAAACAGTTTAGGTTACTTAGAATTGAAATAATAATAAGGGAGACTTCCGGGGAAAACGGGCGTGTTGGCAGGTATAGTTAGACATAGACTGCGTCCGAAACTGCCTACTACTCAGTAGGTACTGCATTTGAATTTAAACATACTACTCAGCCATTAGAAAAGTATGTTCTATACAGTATGAATGTGAGCAGTATGAATGGTATTCGGACGTACTACATCCGCCATTTTGTAATGGTAATGTAACCTACAGTTACAGTCAGTTGTGTCGCTTCCATTCGTGAATTATCTCGCAGGGCATTATGGGATATCGCAGCGTGCATGGGATGCCCACTGCAGAATCTCGCCGGAAATAGTAAGTCATCCAGGTACTTCTCGCATACTGATTTTCGAATTCTATAAATTTGGACAAACTACTCGGCTTGCATATTGATTTTAGCGTACTATATACTGTAGTATGGAAGTATGTGGTTTCTGTCGCAGCCATAGTTTTGTTCAGTTATTTTTAAAAGTATAGCGTGCCATTCCTATTATTCAGTGCCAATTTAGAGTATAGCAACTGTATGTGGAAAAAATGTCAAATTTTTCAACATTTTTTGTTTTTTAATGTTGTATGTCTCCATGCCACCTCTAGCAAGTTCCTGCCCTAGGTACTTGTCTACATTGCTCATGCCTAAATCAGCCACTGGTCAACAGAGTGGAGTCTCAACCGTCTCAACCGTCTCTCAGTTATCAAAAAAAAAATGATGGTTCCTGATAGTCCAAAACATCTTACTCATTTTACTCATAATCATTTTATTACTTACAATGTCAAGATGATATTAATATCCACTGATATTAATATGACAGTAAATGCTACTTTTGTGCCGTTATTAGCTTTTTTTTTACCTATTTACAGGTTAAAAAATATTAAATTGGTCCATCTCCAACTGCTGGTGAAAACCAGCTAGAGATCTTCATTCTGCAATATATTGTTTTTGCTGCTGTTTCAGATGTAATATTAAATTTTAACAGCCAAATTTAAACCACTGAATTTAAAATAAAATGCTCAAAAAATTGCCGGGTAAAAATTATACCTTGTATTTTTAACAGAACTGAATTTTTTGGAAGTAATATTGGGAAGTTGAATATGATGTATTGAATTTATAAGAATGAAAATGTTTAATATATTTTTAGTTGAAATATTCACAGCTTAAATAAACAGCTATGGTTAATTTCAGGACCTATAAATACAAACCCTGGCAAGTGTGTGAGTGATTTAAAGAGAGCACTATGGGCTATGTGTCAGAGCAGGTCTTATTAATATTCATGATTCCAAATATGGTCAATGTTGAGCTGTGATTAGCAATGTGAATCTAGGGGTATTTTATGTGATGAGCATAAAGTGAGCATATAAAAGCATTTCTGGAATTTTTTAAAACTTACCTAATGGACAAAACTACTATGTAGATATCCGAGAACAATTTAACAAAGTAAATGTAATGTTAAGTTTACATGATGTCAAAAAAATCATTGTCATGCATGATAATTTGTTTAACGGGCCTCACCGATCAATGTGTTTTGTTGTAAATACACTAATTAGCCACTGCAGATCTAGAGTCTTGAAAGGAATCAGCACCAAATAAGTGGAGTTATCCATGTCCACAGCACTCTCAGGGTAGATCATACGGTGAGTGGTCTTAAGCCCCACATCCCGCTCAAAACCCTCAGTTGGTCCTTTATTTATCCTAAAAAAAGGAACATTATACACACACACACACACACACACACACACACACACACACACATATATATATATATATATATATATATATATATATATATATATATATATATATATATATATATATATATATATATGTATAGTTTCAACTTATTATTTCTAGAATATTAAAAATTAACTGTCGTTGGTAATTGTTTTTATATCTAGCTACAAAAGCACAGTTTATGATGCAAACACTTTGTCAGTTTACATCAAGAATAAAAGCACTTGTTCTAATTCATGTTACTTTTACCACCACAATAGATGTTCATCCTTCTTAAGCACACACAATGGGCTTTATTTTGACGATCCATGCGCAAAGTGCAGGGTGCAAACCCATTCAGGGCGTGTCAGAATCCACTTTTGCTAATATAAGGACGAAAAAAATCCGCTTTGTGCCATGGCACATGTTCTTAAAGGGTTGAGCTTATTTTCTTAATAGGTTTGTTTTGGGAATAAACCAATCAGAGTCTCATCTCCCATTCCCTTTAAGAGTCAGTTGTGTTGCACCATAGCACATTTGCTATTTACATGACAACTTTGTAAATGGAAAAACTAAATGTTTCACTAGCAAGAAAACATTCAAGGTTACTAAAGTAACCCTTCGTTCCCCGAAGAGGGGAACGGAAGCTCTATAAGTGGATTTGATGTTCTAAATCCACGTATGGGAGGATTTGGTTCAGAAGCCGCTCGTCTGAAAGAGTATTGAACGGGCCAATGAAAGCAATGAATTGGCAGCGCAAGCCTGCGCAGGTGTGCTGCATTGCCAATTAACTGAGCATATAAGCACACCTGGTGCCAGCAGACGCTATCCTTTTTAAGCTGAAGAGACTTAACAGCTAAGGGACAGTCATTATGGCGACGGAGTATAGTGCTTCCGTTCCCCTCCTCGGGGAACGAATGGTTACTTTAGTAACCTCGAACGTTCCCCTTCGGGGGGAACTCCAGCACTATAAGTGGATTTGATGTTCTAAATCCACGTATGGGAGCCTATTGAAAGCGCCACAATGACTGCACCTTACCAACACCCATCATGAGAGGGCAGTCAGGCAAGCGTGACGCACCCAGATCATGAGAGGCGCGGTCCTCCAACGTGCCCTTGGCCCTAACTTATACCACTTCAAAAGAAGCTTTACGGAATAGGTATATTTTTTTGGGAGTCGCTAGCGTCTAGATAATTCTAGGAATATACGACAGTACGTTGGGAAGCGTGCCATCCCAGTAGGGAGGACGCTGCGGAGACCATCCGCACCCAATAGGGAAACAAATGGATATACATATGGACTAACCCTGAGAAGGGGGAGTGCGCATAAGAAGGTGGTTAGCGGATAGGGAAAGCACGGGTCCGCCCAGGGGGGGAACTTAACCGTGGCGGAAAAGCATATGGGGATCACCAGCGGGGATCGGCCATAGCAGGCACCTATACCCAAAACGCGGGCTGACCAGCGGGCAGACCTACAACGTAGTGGGCCAGCAAGTGACTCCTCCGCTGAGTCAGTGCTGGGGGCCTCGGAGGAATCTGCAGGGCTCACCAAATGGGGAACTTTACTGACAGACAGGAGGGTGCACATCTCTCCGTGTTATGGAAAAAAGGCACCGCAAGCGTGCTACAACACCCACCGAGTTGTTTCCTCAATCACCAAAGGTCCCTAACACCCTTGAGGAAACCGGCTCCACTCGCAGATTATAAAACCTTGCAAATGTGTTGGGTGTCGCCCAGCCCGCAGCTCTACAAATGTCTGTTAAAGAAGCGCCGCGCGCACACGCCCAAGAGGATGCAACTCTCCGAGTAAAGTGCGCACGCATTCCCGGGGGGCGCGGCTCACCTCTGCTCAAATAAGCACATGAAATGGCCTCCACAATCCAGTGGGATAAACGTTGTTTAGACACGGCACTTCCCTGCTGCCGTCCGCCATAACAGACAAAGAGCTGCTCAGAAGATCTAAAGTTCTGAGTACGGTCCACATAAATGCGCAGGGCGCGAACTGGACAAAGTAAGGACAGGGCTGGGTCTGCCTCCTCCGGGGGCAGCGCTTGCAGGGTTACTACCTGATCTCTAAAGGGAGTGGTAGGAACTTTGGGCACATAACCCGGGCGGGGTCTCAGGATAACCTGAGAAAAATCCGGCCCGAATTCCAGGCACGAGTCACTGACCGAAAATGCCTCCAGGTCCCCGACCCTCTTAATGGAGGCCAACGCGACCAGCAGAGCTGTCTTCAGGGACAGAAATCTTAACGATACTGTATCGAGTGGCTCGAAGGGATCAAATCGCAGGCTCGTGAGAACGAGGGCGAGATCCCAAGAGGGCGTGAGAGGGGAGCGAGTTGGATTAATTCGCCTAGCACCTCTGAGGAACCAGATGATGAGGTTATGCTTTCCCACGGTGCCGCCAGCCACCGCGTCATGGTGAGCGGAGATGGCGGCAACGTAAACCTTGAGAGTGGAGGGCGACAGCCTACTGTCCAGCTTCTCTTGAAGGAAAGAGAGCACAACACTGATCTGGCAAGATCGGGGGTCTTCTCTGCGAGAGACACACCACTCAGTGAATAGACTCCACTTCAGGGCATAGGCGCGCCTTCCTGGAGGGGGCTCTAGCCTGAGTGATGGTATCAACCACCGCGGGCGGCAGGTTACCTAAGTCTTCCTCGCATCTATGGACCACACGTGGAGGTTCCAGAGATCGGGGCGAGGGTGCCAGATGGTGCCTTGTCCCTGAGAGAGTAGGTCCTCTCTCAAAGGGATCTGCCATGGGAGGGCTGTCGCGAGGAGGGAGAGCTTTGATATCCAGGTCCGGTTGGGCCAGAGGGGCGCAACTAACAGAACCTGTTCCTCGTCCTCCCTGACCTTGCACATTAACTGCGCGATCAGGCTCACTGGGGGAAACGCATACTTGCGTATGCCCCGAGGCCAGCTGTGGGCCAGTGCATCCGTGCCGAGAGAGCCCTCGGTCAGGGAATAAAACAACCGGCAATGAGCGTTCTCGGGGGAAGCAAACAGATCGATCTGGGCCTCCCCAAATCGCGCCTATATCAGCTGGACAGACTCGGGGTGGAGTCTCCATTCTCCAGAGTGAATCCGCTGCCGTGAGAGCACATCGGCTGCACGGTTGAGCATACCTGGGATGTGAATGGCGCGCAGCGACTTCAGCCGCGGGTGATTCCAGAGGAGCAGACGGCGGGTGAGCTGAGACATGCGGCGAGAGCGCATACCCCCCATGCGGTTGATATATGCTGCCGCCGCCGTACTGTCCGTCCTGACCAGCACGTGTTGCTGCTCCAGCACCGGAGAAAAACGGCGGAGAGCAAGGAACACTGCCAACAGCTCTAGGCGATTGATATGCCAATGCAGCTGGGCACCTACCCACAGGCCCGCAACTGCATGCCCGCGACACATGGCTCCCCAGCCTCTGCTGGAAGCATCTGTTGAGACAACAACATGACTGGACGCCTGTCCCAGAGGCACACCGGCCTGCAGGAACGAGGGGTCGTTCCAGGGGCTGAGGGTGCGGCGACACAGCGCAGTAACAGAGACTCGGTGTGTGCCTGCATGCCATGCGCGTCTTGGAACTCGATCTTGAAGCCAGTGCTGAAGTGGTCTCATATGGAGCAATCCCAGCGGCGTGACAGCCGCAGCGGAAGCCATATGCCCCAGGAGCCTCTGAAAATATTTCAGTGGGACCACTAACTTGCTGTCGAGCTCCCTCAGACAGTTCAGCAGCAGGCGAGCGCGCTCTCCGGAGAGGCGCGCTACCATGGTGACCGAGTCCAGCTCCATTCCGAGAAAAGAGATCCTCTGCACCGGGGCGAGTTTGCTCTTTTCCCAGTTGACCTGCAACCCCAATAGGCGGAGATGCCGGAGCACCTCGTCTCTGTGCGCAGTCAATTGCTCCCGAGAGTGGGCTAAAATCAGCCAGTCGTCGAGATAATTAAGTACGCGGATGCCCGCGAGCCGCAGGGGCGCTAGGGCACCCTCTGCAAGTTTGGTGAAGACGCGCGAAGACAGAGAGAGCCCGAAGGGGAGGACCTTGTACTGCCATGCACGACCTTCGAACGCAAACCGCAGAACTGATGGTGGCGTGGAAGAATGGAGACATGAAAATACGCGTCCTTCAGGTCTATGGCTGCAAACTAATCCTGAGGACGAACGCATCGGAGGATGCGCCTCTGCGTAAGCATTCTGAACGACAGCTTGTGAAGGCAGCGATTCAAAACGCGCAGATCTAGGATTGGCCGTGACCCACCGCTCTTTTTGGGTACGATGAAGTACGGGCTGTAAAACCCGCTCTCCATCTCGGCTAGAGGTACCGGCTCAATTGCACCCTTCGCCAGGAGGGCAGCAATCTCCTCTCGCAAGACAGGGGCGGACAGTGGATTGACCCTGGTGAAATACACGCCCGTGAACTTGGGAGGCCGTTTCGAGAACTGTAGTTCTTAGCCGAGTCTGATCATGCGTATGAGCCACCGCAAGGGGCTGGACCGCGCTAACCAGGCAGGCAGAGCCCTGGCTAATGACGTCATCGCAGCAATCGTTGACGTACCCGCGGAGGGGCAGCGCGGAGCGGGTGTGCTGATCCGGGGAGCGCGAGGGTCCCGCAGAAGAGCTGGAGGAGAGCGATTCGCTCTGTCTCCGCACCCTGACTCCTGAGAGGGGGCTTGGGGGCTGGGAGAAGGGAGACCGTCCCCCCAGCGCCCGAGAGCCGCTGGCGAAGCATGCAGGCCCTGCGAGCTGAGAGGCAGCGCGTCCCAGACTGGCAGGGCTTGAGCTGTCACATCCGGGGAAGGGAAAAAATGCTCTTTGTTCGAAACTTTGGTGGCACTGAAATGTACCGTTGGAATATGGGCCCCGCCCTCTAACGGGGAAAGAGCAAGTCTCCTCTTCTCCAGATAGCCTGTCTCAGGGAACCTTCGCGGTCCGTTTACCGGACTTAGCGGCACCCTGGGCAGGAGGGGCTACCGGCTTTCGGCG